AACTTTCACCATATTGAGCCGAACATATACTCGGTCTTAATGCCAGTAAAAAGAACCCGAATACATATTTAGATGAACACTGACATATTTTCAAATCGAATGTGTTATCAATCAAACTATATCATTTTCATTTGCATGAAGAGAATCATGACACCAACAAAAAGGGTCAGCGGGACTTAACAAGCCCTTAAGTCATACCTCCTCGGGCTTGGGAGGCTAGTGTACTCAATAAGACATCACTCGGTCTCAATGATAAAAGAAGGAATCTGAATACCCCTTCGGCCTAAATAGGACGAGCACCCCCTTGGTTAGATTAAGAATGAATTAAAGGATAATTAAACCGATTAGGATAAATAATTAGGTCATTATTTACTTAATTAAAAAACTGAAGGTAAGACTTATCCACAAAGCTTATTAGCCTATAACAATGTCTATAAAAGAAAAGTAAAAGATCCAGATAAATGGTTGACTTCTAAATATTAAATAGTATTTATTACCTAAACTGACATTTGACTTTATCATTGGAGTACTTTTTGCAGGTACACCTTTCCAGAAAAAAGTTAATAATACTCACAAGGACGTCATCTTATTTTACAGAGGAGGAGTTTTGAGAAGACTAATGTATCCTTAAAAGGAAGAATTATATATATATATATATTATATTTTTTTTCAAATCATTATTCCTTATTTAGTGTTCACCACCGTCAAAATCAAAACAACGTTTTCTAACATTAATGCTACTGAAATTCAAAACCCATTAGATTTGCATCACCATTTTTGCGAACTTGGAAGCAAACATGCACGCATGGAAATCATCGTGCCCTTGCTTACCATATACATTCCTAAATCGTTCCAATAAATATCTGCTTCCTCAAATCTAACTCGTTAATTTTTTCAGTTTGATCAATTTGGGCCGGACCTCAATTAATTGCTTACCATTACCATTGAGGTCAACTGACAACTGTATTATTTGTCAGTACTCAGGAATCTACAGACGACGACATACATATTACTTCTATAAGAGCACATCATTTCCTTTATATAATTTTTACTATCTTTTTTATAGCTGTTTGTACTTAAACTAGTACACTCCAACACATTCTATCACTTGTGCAATTGAATTATGCTTCTCCTGTTTTTTGTTTTTCTCAACATGCAATTTGATTATGCTACATGCACAAAAGTGTGCATAGAAGCGTGTGAATGGCTGTACACATAGAAAAGTTAAGAAGTTTCCTTGGATTTGAGTAGAGATCCGTAGAACAAGGAGTCATTTATGATCGGTAAGGTATCATTAAGGACTTAAGAGGGTGCGGAGTGGGGGAGGTGGCGTGGGGAACTACGCCTGAAACCTTTTTCTTCATTGGCGAGGGATAATTTGTCAATTGATGAATATCTATATTAGGGTTTAAATGTTTTGGTCTATGAAAATATAATATATATTTAAATTAATCTATTTAATTTTTTAATTTTTAATTTTTTTAACATGTGTTCACAGGGCACATGTTAATAAATTAAAACTATTTTTATTAAAAAAACATTTATCATCTCAAAATTATAAAAAACATATTTAATAATACTCTTTATAGTAATAGAAAATATTTATTAAGGTGTACTTAATATTTATTAATATGTGACTTTGGATATAATTAAAAAATTATTAATTTTAGTACGTATATTTAATAAAAAATATATTTTTAATCATCGTGTTTTTAAGAAATAAAATAAACGACTTATATTTTTTAACAACTACAAACAAAAAAGGTTTATAAATTAGAGACATTTAATCAATGAAAAAAATTAAGCAATGGTAAAAAAGATTATAACTATAAAAATTAAAAGAATTTTATTTTTGTTTGTATTTTTTTATTTTTTATTTTTACTATATAATCTAAAAGGGATATATTTTTTCACGTTTTCATCAAATGTAAAGAAAAAAAAATTCTAATGATTTTCCACATATTTATATATTGTTGGAATTCAAAATTTGAATGTTGTACTTTTAATAAACAAATTTTTAAGTAATGCTAATCAATCATATTAAAAATAATTTTTTTTTACTCTTTTTCAAGTTTTTAATTAATTTTTATTATATTTCAACAATTAACAAAGAAATATGAAATAAAAAAAAGTTTTAGTATATGCTTTTATACATCTTTTTAATAATATATTTTATTTTTTTATAAAAATAATATCAAATAAAAATATATATTTTTATTTTAAAATATAAAATATTTAATAATTAAGAGACAAAAATTTAAAATGATTACTTTATCTGAATGACAAACTGTTGAATATTACTTAAATAAAGTCTCGAATTTGAATTCTTGTGCATAAAAAAAATCTTGGACGCTAGACTTTCCTACTACATTATGTGTGTCAATGAAGATTAAACCCCTAGCAACTCCCAGCGGCTCTCCTGTCCTCCATCAACTCCCACAAAGTCTGAAGAAGACTCCTACCCTCCCTTTCTCAATGGGCATTGAAGTTGGGTAGAACAAGTTTGTAAAATTCATATATAGATTATTCTTTCTGACAAGTTAAAATTTTAATTTAAAAAAAAATTGCAATGATATCATATTAGAAAACCATGCTAGTAGCTGACCAGCCAGCAACCCAGAAAGATTTTGTGGAGTCAAAATCAGTGAGAAGAAAACAATTGTGCTTAATCTTATAGGCCAAGTTAAAATCTTATAATCAAATTCAATCATTGGTTATACTTATAAATGATTGAGTAGCTTTTATATTTGAACAAGTGCCTCGTTTCAAAGCATCACCGATCTTGAATCATATCTATTTTTGACCTTGAACCGCGCCTACATACATATACATATGGGCTATGGCATGTTCTACGATTCTTGGGAATTAAAAATCACGACACATTATAATAATAATAATAATTTATAATCACGATTTATATTTATTTTACTAAAATGTACACATTACTCATGATTTTTCAACTTTTTTTTTTTTTGGAAAGTGTACTCATTAGTCATGAATTTAGTATAGTTTTTGAAAAATGCATTTAGCTGGCATATGATCTCTTAAATTAGAATCAGTCAAGTTACTAGACTGAATAATTCAAAAATAATAGTAAAAAATATTTATCAAAATTAAATAAAAAACAGTGATAAAAAATTAGTTTGAACCGTTTATTCTTAAGTTTTTAAATATTTTTATTTAAAATATATAATTAAATAAATAAAGAGTCATATCTAAAATATAAGTTAAATTAGTATATTATTCTCTTAATTTTTTATTTTGTTTTAATTTGATCCTTTTAAATTTATTTTCTTATTTTAATCCCTTAATTTACGATAATGTTTTAAATAAGTCTTTTTTAAAAAAAAAACATTAACTTCATTAAAAATTACTTACTATAGGTGAATTTTGAAAAATACTATATATTTTGCAAACTTCTTGGATTATCTTTTTTTTTCTTCCTTTTTTATCTTTTATTTATGTCTTTATGACTTGTTTTCTTCTTTCTTTGACAAAATTCTTTTTTTTTCGGTTTTTTACTCATCATTCATATCTTTCTTCCTTTCTAATTTAAAAAATATTTTTTTTAGTAACATCATACTAGCATGGATGTTACTATTGTCATACACTTTTTATTTTTTCAAAATTCAACTGAAAAATTCTAAAAAGAAAAAGAAAACTTTTAAAGTTTAAAGGATTAGGGAAAAAGAGAATATTTTTGTTGCATTTTGAAGGGAGGAGAAAATAAATCGTAGAGACGTAGATGATAAGTAAGAAGAGAAAAAAAATGAAATAAGATAAAAATAAAAAAAACAAAGAGATAACTAAAAGATTCGCTTAAATATACTATATTTTGTCACAGTTTATAAGAAAGAAGAAAAAAATTTAATAAAATTAATATTTTTTTTAAAAATGGCTTATTTAAAATACTTTTATAAGGGACCAAAATTAGAAAACAAAACTGAAATAAAATCAAAAGTTAATTGACGTATCTATTAATTTTGCTTAAAGTATATGTATAGATTGACGTTGTTTACCATGACTCTTTTTTTTTTTATCTTACAAGACATATAACATGATCTTTTTATACAAATCTAAATTTTAAATAACTTGATTTTCTTATAATGTTATATTAATCTATTATTACTAGTTAAATCTTAATTCAAATACAAGTGAATAAATAAAGTCTAAATTAATATATCTTTATTTATTCAGTGCCTAGTTTGATTTTTAAAATACTTATCAGGCTTTCTTGAAGAAAAACTTGGCTAATTGTGGCGAAATGAATCATTACAAAGAAGAATGTCAACTACATCTTCTCTAATACAATTTTTGTATCATTAATTAAATTTATAAAGTCAAATAAATTTTGTATTCAATGAATGTCTTATATATTTCATAAATTTTAATAAAATTCAAATAATAATAAAATATTTGTTGAAGAAAATGTTTAGTAGCATTCTCTTTCGTAATAATAGCCAAGTCTTAAATGAGAGGTAGCTCTTGGCGGGACCGTTTGCCATATAGCTTATAGGTTAGTGCTTTACCCTTTGGGTCGGGAAAAACGTTGCATTTCTATTCTTGGTAGTTGCTATTGATGGTAAAGGTCAACCAAGTGCCCGCGTTCTAGTGCAAAAGCAAAAATGGACCAAAAATTAAGTAAAGGAAAGAAAAAAAAAATGGTTCTGCTTCTCGAAATTCTTGACTTATTGAATCATAAATTACTTGGTCCTCCATCTTTTATACAGGCAACAACCCAATTCAATTTGAAAAGCGGAACAAGAAACAGGTTGATTTTTCCACATGCGTGACAAGGGCCAAAAAATAAGTATTGAATACTAGGAAAAGAAATCGCTGCAATTTTCTGTGTTCACTTGAGGATTTATTTATTACTTATTAGTCAAATTTAATATAGTGACTAAAGATGCAAAGCTTGGAAAATACTTGCAACAAAAAAAAAGCATCATCAAATTGATATAAAATCGGCCCCAAATTGGTTTTGCACCATTCTGGGGATTAAATATACAAGGCTATTGAGATCATCATCACAAAAGGCGTTGATCAATGATATATCTTGGAAAATAAAACGACTATATATCATATTAAGCCTAGCGGGTGCCGTATAGCCACCACAGCATTAGAACTCCTCCTAATCTACCTTTTCTTTCCCCCACACCTTTCACAAAGCAAGCGAATTACAACGCAATATAATACAAACACAAATTTCAACTTCAATGGAAACTTGTGTTTCTAAAATTGTGACCCCTCATAAGTCTGTCCAAATTGCCAGTTTGCAGGTACAACGTTGTTGCTAGTGATAGTCCTGCCATCACTGGTAGTGACCTGAAAAGAGAGGCTTTGACCATTGAGGTATGAATTGCTTTGCCAATTCTGCCCCCAGTTTCTAGACATGGTTTGCCACCCAGTTCTAGACCCTTTGATGGACACAGAATGAATATCTCCAGCTCCACCAACATTTGTGATCAGAACCAAGTTAAAGTAAGAGTGGCCATTGATTGTGAACCTGATTCCTCCTTTCTTTGCACATGAGACTCTGATTTTAGCCATAAACAAAAAATATGTTAATGCATGCTCCTAGTCATATAACACTGAGCTTAAAGCTAATTAAAATTGGAGATATAGCAAAAGCACTAAGAGTTTCTAGTGTTTCATTTACCTTCTGAAGGAAACAGGAACAATTCCAGCTTTGTATTGAGCAATTTGCAAGAAAGCAGGCTCAGCAAGATCAAAGTGTTGCAAAGGAGGGTTGCACCAGCCACCATTGGAATTAGACAATGCATAGTTAGGTGGGCAAAAGTTTGTGGCAGTAACGATTATGCTACCGGGGAGGCACCATTTGGGGTCAGTGTCACATTTCATCTCATAGCAAGACCCACAACTTAAACCATTGTTGAATAGAGCAGTGCTAAGTGCTGCAGTGTTAGTACCATAGCCTTGGCTATACAAGTTACCATAACCACAAGCCCCTCCTGTAAAAATCACAACTTTATGAGTAACCGCATACCCAATAACCCAAGAGTGTGATAGTATATTTTGACTCATAATAATAGGAGAGAGTGAATGTAATGGTTAGAGGAGAATCGCTTTTAACTTTCAAGCGTAAAGGAAATCTTATTGTATGGGAACCACAAAACAACAATGTTTATGTTCTTTTCCTTTTAAACCCCTCATATGTGCCAAAATGAAAAGGCAAGTCATTTGTTTGAACTTTGAACTTTTAACACTTACCCATTGTGCCCGATGCATCTCCCCCACCATAAAATGTGGCATGACCACTTTGCCATCCTCCTCCATAGTCACCAAAAGTACCTTGGAGGCATAGATTAAGAAGAAAGAAAAGAAGAGAGATGGCTGCAATTGCCATTGTGAGGTAGGTACTAGTGTAGTTCTTAGAGGAGTTGGGGTGACAACAAAGGATTTAAGATTACTTCTTGGTGCTTAATGCTTAGCTAAGGTTGCTTTGCTTTATATAGGAAAGTTAAGCATAGGTTGGGAGCACTATAGACCAAAACGTGGGGTCCTATGCCCGAAAGAGACAACATAGCATTTCTCAGGTCTAAAGAGAGCCAAAACCACAAAAATGGATTCACATTGTTTGGAACGTCGAGCAAGAATCAAGGCGCACATGCAAATGTTTCGGTTACACTACCAACTGCTTAATCTACGGCCCCACTTGCCACATGCATATACATCTCTAACTCTTCTCTTGTAACTTTTTTCTATATCTTTATTTCATGTGGTCGTTACGTGTACAAGTCTTGTATTTATCTTCTTAAATTTTCCTTAAATCACGGCTTAGAGCAGAAAAGCGCCACTAATCTTGCGTTTTCTAACCTTGACACTCAGATACTTCCAACATGGTGTGTTTCTGAAGGCCACACCAAACCAAGTAGAATTAAAGACATTCAAGTTATTCTAGATTGCTAGTGCTAGTCCATTTTCACTTTTAATCCTCTGCATACTTTGCTTTCAATGAACCATTCATTCCTTGTTCAATATGTTGTAGTAACTTTATTTTGTCAATACCCATAATAATAATAATTATTATTATTATTATTTTGTGAATGCAACTACAAGCTCTTTAGAGCTACATTGCCCTCTCTGTAAGTTCTGATTGGTTGTGTCCTATAACGTATATATGAATAGGACAAAAAAAAATTAAAAGAAATCTGTGTGCGAATGTTTAATATTGGAGAGGATCTTAGCAAAGAACCGACATGAACAGTAGCATTCAACAAAAACCAAGAGCTAAGTGTTTTGATTACACGTGTGGCATGCTCGAGTTAAGAGGATTTGAAAAATCAATACCGCTTGAAGTTTACAATGATAACCAAAACTTAAAAGAAGAGAATTATGAATTCTCTGTCTTTTTCTTTTGCATGCCTAACTCTTAATTATAATCCCAGGCATATATTAGTCACTTCAAACCACTAAACTTGGAAAGAATCCAATATTTTATTTGTCGGCTGCAATGACAAATCATATCCTATCAAGCAATTTGTATAACTTAATCAGAAGGCACTAGCGTGACTGTCTCTGCAAAAAATTACCGAGCCTATTTATTCGGCGAAATAAGTAAATTTTGTCGAAATATTGTATTTTAAAAGTAAACATCAGTCGTTATGAATATAATAAAATATTAAAAATTTATCTATTTTTTGTGGTTTTTTAATTAGTATTGGTATTAAAGTTTATTAAAAAGTAAAAAAAATATTATGAAAATGTAACTACAATAAGTGTGTTTAATGCAGTTATAACACGACATAATTACTGCTTAGAAGTGTCCGTACATACTTTTTAGTGTGTAAAAAAAAAAGTGAAAGTAAAAATCTCTTCATCTGAAAGGTGTTCGATATATAGTTTTAGTTTTTCAAAAACAATTTAATAAATTTGAGAAATTTATGTCCTAAGTAGTAAGTATACCTGCTTTACTGCTCTATGCGTCGTGTGAAATTGATATAAGCATTGCAGTGATTCAGTCAAATTGTTGAACAGACAAATAATACCAAAATGGGACGTGGTTGGGTTCAATTAAAAGAGTTGAGGTTTAAACAAAAAGCACATAAACTATTTAGGTTTAACGAAAGGAGTTGAATAAGTTTAAACAAAGAGAATGAGAGTGGTTTAGTTTGATGTTTAATGAAACAAAGCTTTTAATGCTTCCAACCATCATTTTACAATGCTACATTTAGATGCTCATTTCTTTTACGGTGTTGTAGAAAGTGGCGTTGAGATCTATATTTCGGCCCTACCACGTTAGGAGCACATGAACACTCCGTTCTTTGCGGCCCATTTCATTCAACCGTCATTTTCAGGCAAAAAGAAATAAAAAAAAAATAGGGTTGTTTCTGTGGATATTGAAGAAAGAAAACTAGCTAGCAATAACAACAAACTTGGAAAATGACTAATAGATAGATAAATAAATAAATTTCCTAGTCGCTGGTTACATCAGTGATGCATATGCATTATTATTATTATTATTATTATTATGAAAATGATACGTGGATGATTATTGTTGTTGTTTATAAAATTTGGTTGCTTACAAGTCGAAGCATTATTCATTATTACACGGTGCAACATATTTTTATATTTAAAAAATGCTCACTAAGATTATGTTTAGTTTAGGTTTATTGAAACTAAAATCGCATAGTAAATGTACATTCAAGCTTGGTTTGAAAATCTACTCAAATATATAGATACCTAGCAATTGCGTATGAAATCTTCAACATTGATGGCTGTTAAGTGTACAATAAATGATGAAGAGGAAACCTCTTCCTGGGTATTACTTTAAAGAGTAAAAAATAATTAATGGATAGTAAGGACAAATTAAAGGACAAAGTAATCAGCAAGTGTTTACGGTATCAAATCTTTTGGTTCCATTATTACAATCTTATTTTAGAATTCGAGTAAAAGGTCCTTCTAAATCACCTTAAGAATATCTTTTCGTGAAACCAGCAAATTTGTCTAGCTTCCCATGAGGTTGTAATAATATTGGAGCAGGGTTTGACGAATGAGGATTATTTGTTTCACTGTCTCATATTTTTAATAAAAATATATTATTTACATTAATTTATACACATATTTTAATTATATCCGATGATTGAAAATTTACTTTATCATAATCAATTGAGAAATGTTATTTATACAAAATACATCTGTGATTTTTGTTACAACTTAGAAAAATAAGAAAAAAAAGACAAAAGAGTGATAATGTAAGTGATGTGATAGAAAAAAATAACAATAAAATTATTATTATTATTATAAAAATATTATAACTTCAATCAATTATATTCAATTTTAAACTAAGCTAAGAATTAATAGCCTGTGTGACATGACATATGAAAGCATCATTTTATATTCATTCTCTTGAAGGACATTTTCACCTTTTGCCTTTCTGATCATTGCTTCTGAGGAGTTTCCATAGATACATAAAAGCAAAAGAGAAAACAGCCAATGTGATTTGGGAGCACCGATTTTCGGTGCTCATGAGTCAAGATCAATAATGACTTCACCACAAACAAGAAGAACAGACGGCAACATCAAGAGGGAATGCCAAAACTTGAGTCAGTTTTTGATAGAGAACTAGAAACCTGGTGTCCAAAATACAAAAGACCAAAAGGGAAAACAATAAAGTTCCTTGCCTATGCATTTATGAGTTATGACCATGCAATATTCCACCTCTTTTAAATCGAATCAATATATAAATAAAAAATTATAATAATGATAACATATTGAAATTATAATTTTTTAAGTGGGTTTAAAAATACATAATAAATTTTAAAACAACTTTTTTATTAAAAATCACAAAATCTCCTTGAATTTAATATATGTTCTTTAAGATTGGAGCTCACAAAATATTTTTTAAAGAATTTTAATTCATGGACAAAAATCACGTAATATCATTAAATTTTATTAATAATATCAAATGTTACAATTTTTAATAATTTTTTTATTAATATCTTATCACGTACTTTAGACACAGGTTAAAAATTTGTTTAAAATAAAAGTAAAGAATTATTATATTGCTTATAAAATCAAACAAAGAAAATTCAAAGAAACATGTAGGGAGTGGCTTAAGGACACTTAGAAATGAGATCCACAGGCAGAACATGTGGATAAAATGCGCATACATTGTAGGTCTAGGCATACATTGTAGGTCTAGGGACCATATGAAAGTGCCCTTCACAAGGCCTGTCCCCTAGTTCCACTTGGGCAACATGCAAAACCCAGAATATGGATTGAAGTTGAGCCATTAAGATACAAGGTCTTTGAGTTGTCACTTTCCAGTGGTGGTTAACTGCAATGGTCATAAGTGAAGACACACATAGAGTCTTTCAAAGGGGTAGTTTCTTGCATTGTTCAAACTGCAAATTCAAAACATGTTCAAAACTCTACCATGTGCACTTAAATGGGGTGTAGCCTTGTAGGCCATCCATAACCATTGCAAAAGAGACGATATTTGGTTACAAGTTAGGTGCTTGTGTACATGTTGAAATGATATGTCGCATAGTGTTTATTAGAAGATAAAATATGATATGTAGGGTTAACTGCTTTGGATCATATTAGTTATTCAAAAGCACGGTTAGGTAGAGGTTGTTATGTAAGTTGAAATTAGGTTTGGGGCGTGGAAACGATCTTCACCGTCCACAACATAAAAAGTACAATATTATTTTTCCCGAATAGGAACGAAATGTTTATGGTGAACCATGACAAACCAGGATAGTCATTATAAGTGGGTGAAAATTACAGAACTCAAAGCTGATTACTGGATTTAACTTTGCACTGTTAATTCTTTGGCAACTTTGTAAGGAGACAGTCTAGGAGGCAACTCTGGATGTTGGCTTCAAACAGGGGTTGACCATCACCTGCTGTTCTACCACAAACGTCGATCCCCTTGATCGTTTATTACTTGGGACTCCCAAGTTGCTCTTTTTCTTTTGATTTGCAAAGGTTGAATCAATGCACGACAACTTTATTTTGTTGGGTTTGCAGTAGCTTATATATTAAGTTTATTTAAATTTATACAAATTATTTATGATTCTTATGATTTTTTTAATTTATTTTAATAAATTGGATTATTAAATTTATTATATAAGCTTCTATGTAATAAAAAGTTATTGAACGAGAATATGATTAAACTATTTACATAAACATAAACCTATATTTTTACTTCACTCATAATTGTATAACTAAAATTAACTTCATTTATCTCCTACGATCTCATTGAGTATGTCCAAGTATGGCTATTTTTGTACTTTGTATTCTGTGATTTTTTCTTTAATCTATGGTTATATTATAATTTTTTTGCTTAACATGTAAGGGAGCTATGTCTAATTATTTATGTTTACTGAACTCAAGTGGTCAAATAGAATTCACACGGGGTATATTTTCACATGTTGTCACTTCTTTTCTCCAAAATTAAACCACGCAAACAATATTATCAATCTTGAAACTATTAATAGAAAGTTATTTTGTTTTAAAAATATGGCTTAATTGCATTTTCGTCTTCTAATATATGCGTTTGTTCAATTTTAGTTTCTTAATTTTTAAGTGTGTAATTTTAGTTTTTTTATTTTCTTAAGTAAATTTCATCATTTCGTTGAGTTCACGGTAGTTTTCTTTCTCCTCTCCTCCTAGCTGAAATCCGCCATTGCAAACAAAATTCTTTCTTCCTTCTCTTTCTTAATTAGTGGAATCATTGCTAACAGAGCTCTTCTTCCTTATTTTCTCTAGCAAGACTCTGCCATTGTTGTTGACGAAGCTCTCCTTCATTCTTTCCCAGCTAGACTCCTCTTCTTCTTCCACCTCTATCACTACCGTTGGTCACCGTTGTATCTATTAGATCTCTAACATCCTCTCTGTCTCGCTGTCCTCCACTGCATTTCACGTCCTTTGATGGCACAAACCGGAAGTTCCATTAATAAATCTCTAGTCACGACTTCAACACCCACGATTCTTCAAAAATTCATAGAAAACATTGTCAAAAGCAACTCTTAAATTGTCTCCTTCCTCTCTCTGCAGTAGCTTCCTTCAACAAAATCACCATCCCTAATTTCCAAAAATCCTCTACTGCTTCGCCTTTCAACAACATTTGCAAAATCTTATTTGTCTTTGATCGCGATTAACATCATCTTTCTCTCCCTAAAACTCCCTTCGCGATGGCCATAAGAATCAGCGATAAGAGGTTCAATGTTGTGTTCCCTTTGTTCCATAAAACAAATAATCTCTTGAAGCTTAATGAATGTAGTGGAGAAGTGGTAGCGGGAGAGGATATTAGCAACGACATGGAACTCTTCATTATTTAGCTTTGACTAGGAGGAAAGGAGGAAGAAGAGCTTTATGGACAATGGTAGAGTCCAACTAGGAGAGAAAAAAGAAAAAAGAGCTCTGTCGACAATACAAAATCTGGCTAGAGAGAGAGGAGGAAGACGGCAAATTTCAGGCAAAGAACAAGGAAAAAGAGAATCGTTAAAAATTGGTTGACAGCTCAATAAAATGACAAAATTTGTTTAATTAAGAAAAAAATATGATTAAAATTGTACAATTAAAAATTAAAAGATTAAAATCAAATTAATACGAAGGTTAAGGGAAAAAAATATAATTAAACTTTAAAATAATTACTTTTATTTAAATGTTTTGAACAAAAATAATTATTTCCTTGATAAAAGCGCAATCCTAACACGTTGGTGATATTTGCAAAGCTCAAAAAAGTATATCATGAACATTTCATTTCTGTCCTCGTTTTGATCTCTTGGCTGTGAATAAGTGTTATTGTTTAAAAAAATTATATCAATTCATCTAGTTCAAACAGACAGTTGATGAACCAATCAGTGGTTCGATCTATTTAAATAAAAAAGAAGATTTGATTTTGAATCGGGTGCAATCCAATACAAAATTGATGACGAAAAACAAATTTAAACTGATTATTTTAATTTAAAAATTCGTTTTCTTTTTAATTTTGAAATTTTGATTTAACTAAATATTTTTCAGTCAACTAAAGACTCAATGCCAAATATATAATAAACTGTAAATTAGTTTTCTTGTATTTATGTTGAATTCTTACTCAATATATTATACAATTTTAAAGATATATATATTCTAATTAGACCAAGATCATACGAATAAACTGTAAATTACTGATTTAATAATAAACAGCTCAATTTTTAAAACATAATAATTTTGAAGCTATGCAACTCGTTCCTGCAATCTTATCAGCAAATGTGATACAGAAAATGCCTAAGAGGGGGAAAATTAAAATGAAAAAAAGAACGAAAAAGACAGTACAAAGGATAAAAAGGACCTAGACACTGCGAAGCGCACGCCATTATTTCCCGCCAAACACAATCCCAAAATAGTAAATTATGTCATTATGTGGACATTTGATGCGCTCATTCGAATGGCTTCTTTAAAACTGACAGAAGAGTAAACGAACAAGACATGTCTAACTTCTGTTTCCACAAAACAAAAACATGATGGACCATATACGGCATACCGCATCCCATGTTCATATGTATGAACAGTAGCAACTAAAATTGATGACAAATGGTTCTTTGTGCAGCATGGTCAAAAATGAGAACTGACAGAAACACCTCCTAGTCTGTGCCAAGTGCTAAAACGTGTACAGGCCGGACTGAGAAGTGAAATTGGCCGACAAATGGGGGGACTTCTTGAACAAGCCAACAAAATGTGTGAAATTTACATATTTGTTTCAGAGTGGGAATTTTTTTTCCTTCAAAACTTCATAAAAAAACTGCCAAAAAAGTTATTATTCTTCCAAAACAAACTAGTACAAACATCCATTTAATCAAATAAAGAATTGAATAGAGAAACAAAAAATGATACCTTTAGCTCTCAGTTTATCACTCATGTCAGTCTATGGACACTCCAATAAACGGTGGTGACATGTTGGTCAGTCAAACTTGCATCAGGCATTGTTGATTTTATTCACAGATATTGTTGGACCATCTGGCATCATAACATGAGAAACCCTGTGGCCTATGTCCAGCCCCTGAAATTGGCCGATAGAATCACTCGATAACATTTCTGACAAATCATATGGAGTGGCTAGATCAAACAGAGGCCCATGGGAAGTAGACACATTAGATGAGAATGAATGCAACTGCGGCATTTGTATGGTCTGATGTTCGCTCAGCCCATGTTGTGAGTGATGTGAGAAGAACGAAGCCTGAGAATATGGATGTTGATGCATTCCTGAACCATACATATCTGCATGAATTACTATCTCTCCAGTTGCAATCCTGAGCCTTTCAACTTCTTTCTTCAGTGCTTCATTTAGAACTGTAAAATTTAAAAGTTTTTGAGACAGGAGGGTTAAGGTCATGAAATGAGACGCAAATAATATATTAGCTGAAAGTTTAACATGCACGCTACTAGTAGGTTATTGATCATGAGAAGGTCCAATTCTTTTTCGGGAATGATGTAACCTAAACAATTCTAAAATATCATTTAAAAGAACATCAAAAGTTGAAAACAACTTCCAATAACTTCTCGGTAGGTAATAATTCCACTCATGATGATGCAAAAACAAGTAAAATTTCATATATCACATACGGAACTGATGTCAAAGATAATTAGGATATATGCAGCTGACATCAAAGATGTTATAGCAAGTAACAACTGGAAACAGGGATATTAAAATCTGCAGATTTTCTTTGTATGGCTGAAACATTGAAACGCACCGTCACATAACTTAGCTTGTTGCTCCATGGTTTGTAACCTAAGCTTTAACTCTGTATTTTCAGTAGTCAGACCAGATGTGTCTCTCTGGAAAAAAAATGTTTTAGAATGAATAAGTCTCAGGTCGCTTAATATGAAAGCTCCCCATTACATATAAGGAATTTAATGAAATGGAAACAAAGTGCAATAAAGGAAACAAAAGCATCATCATTTAAAGAAGAACAAATGGCCACAAGAATCAAAAGCAAACCAACTAGGCAAGAAAAAATCACCCAAGAATGGGGTAACTATTCGACAAGGCAACCTATTCAAACTTTAAAGCAAGCACATAAAGCATTTCCAACAGGAACTGAATCCAGTCAACTTCCATGGTCATCATGTGACAGAGAGAACAATTCAGAACAAATCTAAAAGCCCTCCATTTCAATTTGAAAAAAAAGTATCCTACATACATAAGAAATAATAGCAACACACTCTTAACCCAAATGATTTTTGACGTAGTAATAATGTTGAAATGAAAGTGTGTTGCTAGCATTTCTGGCATACACATGAGACACATAATATAATGCTTGAAGCACATTACCACCTTGCATCAGCGTGGAGGGATCAAGATCTTCTGCAGTTTTTAAAAACTCTACACGACCTCATTTATCCAAATTATTTGATTTACAATATATAAATCTTGAATATAGTTTAAGTAAAACTAAACAGTTGCACCATATCCAGTTTGCATTTGGCAATCTAGTTCCTGTATGAGGTGATAAAACTAGATGTGACCAGCTACTCTGGAGATGCAAATGTGAGTGTAATTAAATGTAGGATATTGAAATAACAAATACACTTTTTCTAATGCATGTCTCAGAGAACATATTAAGAAACATTAAATACATTTCATTGAATACTTTTAGTTTTAATTTTCATAAAAAGCATACCATAAAAAGTATGTATCGAATGCTTTTTATGATTTTAAGATAATAAATATTCTATTTTTTATTAAAAAAAATTATTTTTAACTTCTTAAAATGTGACGTTAGACACATATTAAAGAAATTGAAATAAATAACACAAGAAAAAAAATGTTATAATTCACTCTTTTCAACTAAGTAGGGAGTGGGACCCATAACATTGAATGGGTCCGACATGGATTTCACCCACGACTGTGAGAGACAGAGGCTCACTAGAATTTCTCTTGACACAGTCACCAATAATCACTTGCATTGACTCTCCCTCCTTTAAAGAAACGGAGTCTGACTTTTCAATCATTACATAACCACTCTATGTAATGAGTTATTGTGTGCAAAACACAAATTGTAAGCGAAACAACATTTATATTTTAAAAATACAAAAGGCTCCGAAAAGAAAGGAAAAAATCACGAGAACGACCTAGAAAAATACATGTATAACTAGAAACAACTATATTAACCACAATGCAGGTAATTAGATTTGTTCAACGTGGTTACTTAAGAATGAAGCAAGAGAAATTTCAAATCACAAGAAGAACCTGGAAAAGATTCAATTGAGCAGAAAGAGTGGTGGCTTCTGTTTGAAGAGTTTGAATTTTTCTTTCGAGCTCCAACACATAACAAGCTTTTCTCTCTTTAGAGCGTGCGGCAGATTGGCGGTTGGCGAGAATCCTTCAACAAATGCACAATTCAAAAAACACGAATCAAAAGAGAAATTGAAATTGCGGTGGAACGTGAAGAAGAGAAAGAATCAGAAACCTCTTGGCTCGTTTAGGATCGACGGTCCACAATTCAGCGAGTTTATCGGGGGACATGGCCTTCTTGGCCTCAATGCCCTCCATTAAGGAGGCATCGTCGGAATTACTGCGACGGTGACCGTGGCGAGCGGTGGAGGAGGGTTCGGGTTTGGAAATGGATTCGATATTGTTGGAATCGACGTAGGCAGAGAGAAGGTCATCGTGTGGGGCTGGATCTTGGGAATGGAGCGGAGGCACTTCCAATGGATCCACTTCGAGGTCGAAGTCGTCGGGGATCCGGAAATGTACCTCCGATTGAGATCGCCGGTGGTGTGAAAACGACATCGTTTTTGGGGAGGAGAGTGACGGTGCTCTTTTGCTCTGATCCGTTTCCCTCCCCTCTCTATTCTGTGATGCCTATGCGCGGTCTCAGCTATTAAAGGGCTATCTCAACGGTGTCGTTTAGGGTTCTCAAATAACATAAATTCAAAATGTCCTCCTTAACGAAATAATAACTAACTAACTATTGCTTTTTTTCATTTGTTTTCAGGATTTTTTCTTGTCCCAGTATTTTCTTCTGTCTGTGATACTTTGTTTTATTATTTTTTTAAAAATAAAAAGTGTGATAAAATTTTTGTTAAAAATGATTTATTATTTCTTTGTATTTTAATGTAATAAATCCTTTTTGTTAATAATATCTTAAGTGATGTTGACATTTTCTTTACTTTATTTTATGTTCGTATATTGATTTCAATCTTATAAAACAACCTTTTTTTTTATCCGAAATTGGTCATGAGTTATTTCATTTGTCAGTTTTAAATTTGGCTTCTTTCATAACAATGTTTTACATGTTGTTTAACGTGGTTCTTTTATTGTCTTACGAGGGAGTGTTCCAAATATTTGAACTATTATAATTCCTACTCTTTTAAATTTTTTGAAGTGGTACTTACCATGTTAACTTCCTTGGTCAGTACAACACCGAAATGAGAATGTCATTTGTGATGCGATAGCTTTTAAAGAGAAAATGAATAAATAATAATAATTTAAATGCACTTCACAATATAAATATTTTTATACTATTTATCAATTAAAAATTTTCAAAATATAGTTTTAAATTAATTATGATAAAATTGAATAAATTTCAATAACATGTTAATCTATAATCATCATTGAAGACGTAAATTCAATCACATGAAAGTGCTTTAATTTAACTAATTATTTTGGGTTAAAGTTGGCAATACAAAGGTTAAACACTAATAACTCGTTGTTGAGTGCTCTCAGTTTGCAATATCCAATTTTGGATGAATAAAGGAAAATTAAATTTAAATAAAAAACGTTAATAGTCTCCCATAATTGTAAGTTTCTAATTACTAGAGAAAAATGTCAACGTGACTTTAAAAGGAGCACTGGGCTGAGACCTTCGAAATTTGTATAATAAACGGACACGGCCCTTTATATATGTTGGGCTAGGCTCCTCAAGTCAGCGATATTATGGGCTACTAAATTTACCAATTACCATCTACCACGTTCGTCCCATCCATGGGACCATCACCTCCATCGCGATTTCGCTTTCAATCCAAATTTAACGGTAAGGCCTCATTGCGAAAATTACGTAATTAAATCAAAATTTATCTACATTATCATTATCATTATATTAACACAAAATAATCGCGTGACATAAAATTCTACATAATCATTTAATATATGTAAAATTAAAATGTTAAATTGTCAATTATTAGCTTACTTAATCTGCACAACCTATATAAGTAATGTCCATACGAAAATTTTCCACGATAATGACACGATTGTGTGACAGCCTGACAGGCTTGTAATACAAGTATTAGTAAATGTAACTCCTAGAATTATAAAAATATCAGTTTAATTTCTAAAATTACGAAATTATTAATCATAATTTTGAAGATTAGTTTAATTGATTACTGAATTTAGTAAAGTAGGGGAGAATATAGTACTGACATTGATGGAACTTGTTTGGAGAAAAGTCAATCCAGGGGACAGGTGGCAATTTGTGAGAATGATGAGGAATCCGATGAACGAACAAATGTGAAGCTACACTACCCTGGTGGACCCTTCCCCTTTCCCATAGAGTGGACCCTTCCCTTCCATTCGGGTAGCCATTGGCCCATCATGTATAACGACTAATGAAATTTTGACATCTCTTTCTGTACATCAAATTTATGCAGAGATGAGAAAGATCATATTAATATCAGTTTTAATGTTTTTGTAATAGTAAATACTCAAACATAAAATATTCTTTATGTATAAAAAATAATTTATAAATAAAATATTATTATTGATGCATGATTTTAAACCAGAGAGCAACCTTCATTGTAGATTTGCAAAGTTGCAATAGCGAATTAGATATACCCTTACAGTGAAGAAGATGTCACCATCTCATTTAGTGATTTTTTTCACATTACTTGATAAAACACGACAAAGCAATCTGTATACTTGCAGCTATAGGTTGGTCTCTTTCGCAATCATCTAATCCAAAACGCTCAGCTGTAACGTTTGTAATTGTATAACCCATCGAACTTGTCCATGAGATTAACGAATCCCACAACTTGGTTTAATTATGCTAGTGATTGTTAAATCAGCATGATGCCAAACAGAAATTAACTCAAAAAAATATCAAACACTTCCACAAATTAGTAGCGTACTGTGTTGTGATTTCTATTTACACATAAATACAAATTGACAAAACTAAGATAAGTCCTTTATATTTTAATCGCTGAAATTCTCAAATTAAATAATAACATCCGATTGTTTTCTACTATTAAATAATCTCTTTTAATAATATAGTATAATTTTACTATATTATGTATGATTATAAGAAATAGCAAACCAAACGGATTTCAGCGTTGTGCATAATTAGAGGTGAGTTTGTAAATCACTAACTAAGCATGAACGTTGGATGGGGAAAAAAATAAATAAACTAAGGGAAGAGATTGCTTGAACTTTACAGTAAAGGTTGAGTGGAGGAGTGGGAGAAGGATTTGGTGCTGAGAATAAGTGCTTCTTTAAATAAGCTAATTTTGATTAGGTGGGATCAGGTGCCATAATCAAAATCAAAATTCGCAACCGCTTTTTCTTGTCTATCAGTATCCGGATTCTAAAATCAACGATATGCATGTCATATCTCACTGCAATAATAAATGGAAGGGGACAACAAAGAAGCTGTCTTGCTTTCACTTCGTAACATAATATCTATGTCCCAGTTGGCTCTGCAACTTCCAAACACTACAAAGCACTTCAAGACAAAACCATTCCCCATAATATCTATAGAACATAAACAACTATGCCCTCTTTTGTGTCACACAATTTGAGTCTTATTTTATGCTCTTAATAGTAAGAAGAAAAACTCCAACCCCTCCTGTGGTAAGACCAATTAGAAACTTTCAGAGCCTTAATAGTCATGTTTTGCATCATGATGGCTAAGAAGGTTTTAATTGGGTTAGAGTGGACATGCCATTAGCTTAGCTATCTGAGAGTCAGAGGTTTTAGTTTGTGTGGTTGTGTTGGTTTTCACCCTCCAAAGTTTCATCTACTATTCACCACCCCTTCTGTGGTTCCCTTTTCCTTGTAACTAAAGAGATGCTTCTTTGAAACCTTTATCTAGTGGGATTCCTATCACAGCATAAAAGGTTCTTCTCTGTGTCTTCTTGATAAGAAAAGATAATTCAAAACCTTTTTTGCTTGCTTTCCTACACTTATCTCACTAGCATCAAAATTCTTCATTCACCATGGATCAGTGCATTTTCAAGCTCATTTCTCCAAGCTTTTCAAGCAGCAGAAATAGATTCCTCAGCTGATATCAAAAGGGTACAAGAATTCTGAGTTCTGTTATTGGAATTGTTGGTCTTTTTGAAGTGGTTGTTACTTCGAGTCCATAATGGCTCTTCATTACAGTCCCCACCGCTTGTTGCTTGACACAGATTCAAGCTCAACTACACCAGGTAACATGAACAAGACAAGAGAGTCTTTCACAGGTGAGGCAAATTTTGACACCAACATGGTGATTATCTTGGCAGCGTTGCTTTGTGCACTTATATGTGCTTTAGGACTCAACTCAATTGTCCGTTGTGCTCTAAGATGTAGCCGCAGATTTGCTTTTGAGACACCAGAAGAGGCTGCAGCACGGTTAGCAGCAAAAGGCCTAAAGAAGAGTGCATTGCATCAGATCCCTATAGCTGTTTATGGTTCAGGAGACAGTACTAGTATTGTAGCCACAGATTGTCCAATTTGCCTTGGTGAGTTTGTGGATGGGGAGAAAGTTAGAGTGCTACCAAAATGTAACCATAGATTCCATGTAAGGTGCATAGATACATGGCTGCTCTCACACTCATCTTGTCCTACTTGCAGACAGTCTTTGCTTGAGCAGCCAACCATTTCTAGAGCTTCAACCCTGACTGTAGCTGTGGCTGCAGCTGGAGGAACCAGTCACCACCATGTAGAGAATGGCTTAGGAGGGCATGAACATGAGTCTTTAGCTGTGGCTGTGGAAGAGGTTGGCTAGTTGCCAAGTTTACCCTCTGTGGTCAGAATTCACAAGAAAGAAGGATTGGATGAATAAATGGAGACTAGTTGTTTTTAACCTTGAATTTGGAAGCCTTTTCATGTTCACCATGAATTTGTATGACTGTATGAAGAACTGAGGAAATTTAGGTAGATATTAGTGTGGAAATAGTTTGGATTAAGACCAGTCTGTGTTTTTGTGCATGTTTTCCTTGACATAAGAGTGTTAAATATTGAATGTTTGTTGTTTGTAAATATATTGAAAAGCAAGTGCTGCACAACTAGTTGGATACTTGGATGGCATTTTGTCTTCCAGAAAATAGAAGAGGGAAAAGAAAAGTCTTGTTAATGAATGACTAGTTCATCCAATTTTGTTTCCTCTGCCGCTCCCCCTTCCCCTTCCTTTTTCTTCATTACTTCACTGAAGTCCTTGCTTATCTGAATTGAGCTCAAGTGGGTTTTAAAAGTAAATCAAATAGTTAATGCTTATTTAAGTAGATATTACATGTTTAGTTCATGATCAGCATTTGGATTGAAAGAACTAACTAAACTTATAACTGAATCTAAGTGGCATGTGACTTGGCGATCAATGTCAGAAGACTATCAATCAGACATCCCATGAAAGATCATCGATTTGCTCTGCTTGTCAAAGCAGACACTGATGCTCTTTTCCCCTTCAATCATTCCATGTGAGTAGCATATTCTTCGATAAAGGAAAATTCACATGTTCCAAAATATTACGATCAAAATAACCTTGATTAGTACAGAAAAACAACCTTAATTAGTGGAAAGATTAACCAAGTCCTGAATAAGCACCTTAAAAAGACAGTTGGAAATCTGATTCCAAATCTAAATCAGAAACTAGTCAATAAGCATAAAAACAGAAGCAAGAACTTCTTTAATTATTTGTCTTTCCACGTGGAAAGTATGTGCCAGACTCACTAGTCAATTATTATTCGAGGTGTTTGCAGAGATAGATAGTTCTTACACAGTTAGTTATTTTACATTCCACATCTAAAACAAATCAAATTTTTTGTGTGTACATTTGAATGTAAATCACAAAGCATAAAGAGAAAATCTCTCTTTACTTATCTGGTCAAACTTCCATACACAACATTCTTTGAAGTACAAAACCCATTTCATGAGTCAGGAATCAGGAGTATGACAATCAAAATGTTGTCATGGTGACACCATCAATGTACACCTGAAAACTTGAAAACCTGTCTTTATTCTTTTATAGTACTTTTGTCAATCAAGCAAAGCTTAATTTAGATTCTCTTATTTTTATCCACCACTTAAGAGGCTCAAAGATGGGCATTTATCCCAATTCCCATATGTAAAATCTTCTTTAGTGTCCCCAAGAGATTGCTGACAAGTATCATATACTAGATGTTTAGGATATATATTGCAGTCGAGTTCTCTTGTCTTAATCTATTGAAATTCAAGGTAAATAATTTGCAAACATAAATGGAAAAAAATCACCACACAATAATATAGATTGTTTAAAACACAGATTTTAGACGCATACATTTTGTGTTTGTCTTCTGATACTGTTTAATGAGTACCCTATTGCCGAAGCAATTAACACGTTAATTTATTATGGTGAAATTTCGCGCATCTAATCCCACCCTATGTTGCATCAACACGGATACGGTACTCAGTATCCGGTACAGATACAAATACGGAATATGATAATTTTTAAAAAATTAAAATACGGGTACGTGAATATAAATTTTTAAAGAATTTAACACATTCTTATTATACATTTCATAATAAAGATGAATAAATTTAATTAAATAAAGAAATAAATATAAGAAAATTGAGAGAAAAGTAAAATAATCTATAAATTTAGTAGAAGTTGTTATTTTTTTTAGAAAAAGATAATCTAACTAGTATTTAAGTATAATTATCAATATCTTAAATCATATCTAATTTTATAAAAGTTATATTTATATTACATACAATTATTTTTTAAAAAGTCAAGTGTACACAATGAATACTCGGTACACACCAGATATGGATATAATTGATAAATCAAAGTACCAGTGCTTCACAGATCCTACCTTGCAGGTAGAAGTGAGGGTGGCTGAAATGGATGAGGCCTAGTACAATAAGAAAATGAACTCACGAACTGAGCCGTGATTAGCTCAAGAACTGGTTTGATTTACTTCGAGCCCCAATCTATATTAGAGATGCTATAAATGTTCGATATATTTATGTATCTTCACTCAATACTTTAGGCAGAGTTGGATCATTTCATGGTATTTGACCATCTATGATTTAGTGATCCAGAGTTTAAACCTTGCTACTCACTATTCATATGTTCATATGCTTTCACCTAAAAGCTTAAACTTAAGACATTAGTTTATGGAAAAAACTAACGTATATTGATTAGAATAAACTGGGTGCCTACTCAAAGCGATAGCTGGAAAAGTGAGTTTCTCTAGATCCAATTACTGAGGTCAGAACAAGAAAACCATTTATTGAACTTAAAATTTATAGCCCGTCATAATGCCTACATGGCTACATGTGTTTTATTAACCTATGGTCTACTCTAGCATTAAAATTCTTACTGGTTTTATTACAAAATGTGACGTGTGTACCTTTTACTTGCATAAATCTGATTAATGGAAAGCAAATGAAAAGAAAAGAGAAGCATCGGCCAAGTTAGTCATTAGATAATAAAGGAGACTAATTCTGTCCATATATCCTTTTTCCTTTCCCTGTTTGATTTGAAGGGCAATTTGAGTACAAGATCTTATAAAACACCAAATAACAATGATAGTTCTTCTGTTCACAAAATGGAATCCCAATCTCTTTCTTCAACACCTCTAAATACTCTTTTGTGGGCTTCTAAGGCCCACATTTTGAAAATAAAAGATTCATTCCAGCACTACCTGTGGATTTCATCCAATTAATGCGAATTGAGGATACACTGCAGCTGGAACTTGGACATCTTTTAAGGCATCTCACAAAAATGCACCAATTTGATGATGAGTGCATTTTTGTTTTCTTTTACCATATTCTTTTTCCTTCAATTTGAAGATTATGGGGGAAAGGATTTTACCTTAATCTTTTTACCATTTTTTGCTTGCTTTCCTTTGTTTTGGGGCCTAAGTTGGGAAAGAGGGTCCCATGGCCTATGGCTGGATTAGCTGTGGTGGTCCACCAAACACACAATTTGCACGGCTACAAATGCATTAATTAGGTCAACTATTTACATGACAAAGACAGTTGCACCCCTAGGTAACATTTGTTTGGAAGCAAAATTTACCGTATAAGGACCTCCGGCGAATTAAATTTAATTTTATATTTAAAGAATTTTAAAAACTATTTACTCATTAATCTTTAAAAATGTTTAATTATTATTGATAAATAGTCTTTTAATTTAAATTTAAAAATTAATATTATTTGTTAATTTTTCATTCTCAAATTTCAAATCAAATTTAAGATTTTAAATCTTATGTTCACCCTCATCTACTTCATCTTCATTCACTATTGTTATCAGTATTTTTAATTGTTTCCTTTCCTTCACCAGTTTCATCTTCTTGCCACGACAGATTCTTTAAAATGAGTTTTTAATTATACTTTTCTATTCCAATCATTTTATGATGTTTATCTCTATTTTTCTTTATTCTATCGATGATTAATACATGAATTTATTATAGGGATCAAGATTATATTGATATGAATTTATATTATTATTCTTAATTTTAATATCTTTATTATCAATAAAACAAATACATGAATCTATTCTAGGGATCAAGATTTCTGAACTAATTGAACTTTTCTTGAAATCTACACATATCACAAGTAATATAAATTCATATCATTCTTAATTTAATAATAATATGAGTTTATATTATCATTCTTAATTTAATATTTTATTATTAATAAAATAAATACATGAATCTATTCTAGGGATAAGTCTTGAAACCTGCACATATCACAAGTAAAGCGACAATATGATAGTAATTGAAAATCATCAACATTCCTCAAGATAGTCCAAGTTATTGTCTTTCTGTTAAGCACTTCATAAAATATTGCAGAAAAAAAAATTGTTCACACTGTAATATGGAACTAGGTTAGTATGTGTGTGCTAATTTTGATGAAGGGGAGGTGAAGCTCTTTTTAGAGCATTCTAATAGTTTTTCTTCCAAGAATTATGTCTGAAAAATTGTTGACAAATATTAAGCATGGTAAAAATATTTGAGTGACTCATAATGTTTAGCATATTATTACCAATCATAATGTAGAGTTTATTGAGTCCCAGAGAAAAAGTCTCTCAAACCCATAGCTGCCTGTATTAACATTCAAATTAATTTGGATACTCAAATGTATAAAATATATAATTGTTTGACTTTAGTCTCATAAAATCAATTCTAAATATTGATATTAACATCTTTAATAGATAGATATAAAAGTAATACAAACCCCAACTCTAACGAGTATTCTGAGGCAAAACTTTGGAGAAACAACACTTTCCACTTCATCCAAAAGAGAAATAAGATATTCTGCTACCTATCATGGATTCTATGTGTAAACACTCAAACCAGGTTTAATCTGTAACACCATAAAGAGAATCATAATCAACATTTAATATATATATATAGGTACAAATGCAAGACTATATAAACTTATAACATTTATAGAGAGGCAAGTGATAGGAGTGGAACTCCGTAATTACCCAGTGATGAGAATATTCTACAAGCAATCATAAGGCGTGTAACTCATCAAATGAATCTTTGGTACAAAGTCAATCTAGTTTGTTTATAGTTAGAAGGGAGTATTTATTTGTGTCACAGCAAGTTCAAACATAAGCAACTTATCCTTGAGACTTTATAGGTAAAAGAAAAACATACATTTTTCTCTTGACTAATAACTATTTTTAATCTTGTTATTTCATTTTTTATGTTTTAGTAGTCTTAATTAAAATACATATATTCTATTATTAAATATTGACATAAAAACAAAACTGACAATATATAAATTTTTATGAATCTTAATTATCAATTATGCATATAATACTTGTGAAATAATGTCAATAGTTGATGTTATTTTAGCGTGAATAAAATTGTATAACCTAAAATTCATAAAATATTATTTTACATTAATAGTCTCTCAATAAATATTAAATACATTGATTTTAATATAAATTAAAAATGTTACTAAATTTGATTATAATGATTTAATAAGAGATTCTGTATCTTAAAAATGTTTAAAAGATAAACTTCAAGTAAAATAATTATAATTTTATGATGTCATTTTAATTGATTCTAAAGAGACATTTTTAAAATTTGCTTTAGATATAAGTTGGGCCAACCATGCTTTCGTATATCTTTTTTTTCTCAATAATAGACCATCTAGTAAATGGAGATAATTTTTTCGTCATTTGTTGACCCATTTGAGAAAAATCTCGACTTGTTTTTAGTCTTTAGGGTAATTTTTTATATTATTATTTAACTATAAATTATTATATCATTAAGAATGATTAAATTTTATAATAATTATTTTAAAAATCATGCATATAAATTGTTTTCTAATTGACTAATTATATAACAAGAATTATATTAATAATATATTAAAACTAAACATCTTGTTTTTTGGGGTCAAAAGCTAACTTTTTCTTTTTTGTGATTACGTACTTTTATATATTTCGTGTTGTTTATTCAGCTCCCATAAACCTATTACATATCTCTTTTTTGTTTTTTGTTTTTTTTTTTTATCAATATTACATATCTCTTAAATTCTACGGATTGTTCAGAGGATTACATGGTCCAACAAGTTTGTGTTGGGTCACTTATGATACTGATGGTGGGCTTTCAAGCTCTGTTGGAAACGTGAAATCGTAATATTTTTTAAATTTTAAATCGTAATTCAAAATATGTTTGATTTTTTAACCAATATATATATATATAACTTGATTGACAAACACGAAACATGAGAAGACCAATTTTTCTTTTTCTATTTTATTTATTTTTACATGGTTTAGTAGAAGTTTATCATCATCTTCAATATGTGTCTGTAATTACGATGTAGCAAGTTGTTTGGATCAATTTATTTATTTATTTATTAAATAACTCATATCATTACTGAAAAATAATCCCCTCAAATGTTTGGAAATTCATCACAACAGGGAAAAGGAACGAGAGGAAGAAAAGGGCAAAATATTTTTTCCAAGAAGCTAAGCAAAGAGAGTGAAGAAAAGGAAGAGAAGGAAAAGAATGAAATACTTCGTTAAACGATATTGAATGATTGCTAAAAACTTTCTACCAAATCTCAAGTCAAATCAGACTCATAAGGCCCCATATCAATATATTTTTATGCACATATCTTTTGATTACACTCTTAGTCTCCTTATTGTTGACGCTGAATGCAGATTTAGTTAAAGGAAAAACTGAAAAAGATAATTTCACATCCTATTTTGGGTGTTTAATGGGTAGAAAAACGAGAGATAATAAAAGTTGAGAAAAAAAGTTATGATAGAAAAAAGAGTAAAAAATATATAAAAAAAAGTGGATTTAAAACTATAGTTGTTCTTAGTAACAAAACATATGATCTATTCTCATGTTCAACTTATGTAGTGACTAAATTTTTTGGTACGATGAGGATAACGTGGGATGAAATTTTTATCTCATGTAAATTACTTAAATTTGTCACCATTTATATAATTTTAATAGCTTTGTTGTGCTTTAAAATTGAACAAGTAAAAATAGACTGACACTTAATTTGACTTTAAAATATTATAATTATATCTACTTAAAATTATGAAATAAGTATACTCCATTCATTTTACAAATAAATATATCATGTTCGCTTTTTAAAGGGACTTTTTTGCCACAAATAAAAAATTGAAATTTAAATGGCACAAAAAAAAAAACCTGTAATAAATGATTGCTCACATGCAAAACAAAATAAAACTCAGAATTATATCATACGGGTTGATTTATGTTAGTGCTAACATTTATTCCGATAAGTTCAACAACAGAAATCCGGAAATATTGAGTGAAGAAAGTTCCAATTACTACATGATTGCAACACAGATACCCAATATTACACAACAAAGTTCTCTTCACTTGGACAACTCCTCTGAAAGAGTGCTAGCCAAAGATGAAATGGTTTTGGTAGACACTGCGCTTGACCCACCAAGGTACCATTTCTTGATGGTGTCTACCACATTGGCATTTTCTACTACAAACTTTGAGTCTTCTTTCCCCTCCAAAGATACCACAATCTGTACAACAAACACAGTGAAGTTAATAAAAAGCAACTATGCCATTTGCCAAAAGGTAATTCAAATGTAATAAGCAGTGAGCTAATGCTGCTACTTTACCTCAGCAGTTGCAGAATTTGCTGGGAAATGATATGTGATCACTGAATGTTTCTTGAAGTATTTAGACTGGAAAAATTCAACAACTTTTTCCAAAGCCTCTTCTTCTTCCTCCTCATATTTGTCATCAGCAGCCAACCTATCCCTCACAGCAGTCTCAATCTGAACTCCATATTGTGCACCCTTTATCTCTTTTATCACCACAAGTCTAATAACCTTCTCCACCGGAGCTGCACATATACACATTGGCCATTCACTAATCACTTTTGTTACTTACTACTTGGCATTTAACAGTGTATCACTAGTGTTCAATCGATACCAAATTAATTAACCGTTTTTCTAACATGTACACAAAATCAGAAGTTAATAAAATTTAGTTTCTGTTGAAAATTGTAGCATTTTAAGTTACCAATGCATTAAATTTTGTAATTTTCAATAAAAATTTACTATGCATGAGTTCTTATACACACTTGAGAAAAATTGATTAATTAATCAATCGATGGGATCATACTGATATTAATATGGTATAGATCAAAACTTACCAGAAATGAGAGCATCAAAGAAGTCATCTTTCTCTTCCAGTTCCTTTGCAGGTATACCTTTCCACTGCTGCAAGTGGCTTATTACTTCAGGATCCAAATAAACTCCGATTGAATAGAATTTAACTTGGAGAAAGTGGATCTCCATGTCGGTGATTCCTGGTCAAACAAGGAAATCAAGTTGTTTCCACTTGCTATATATAAATTCATCAGTATTATTAGGTAATAAAAATCTAGAGACCACGATCTAGATCCCTTGCTTCCTCTAGTTCAATCTTCAATTTTTAACTTGAATGGAAACAATAGTTTACATGAACATCAACAAATCTAGACCTCACCCCATCCTGAAAATAAATTAAGGAAAAGAATTAGCAAGTAGAGGATATAAGCAACATACCATGACCCAGAAGAGAGAGAGGCTTAGTAGTAGTGATCTTGGAAGGATAAGGGATTTCATCAACCAACACCTCTTCAGTAGCCACTGAAATTAAATCCACAAAACAACATAATTTATCTTAGATATTAACACTTAAAATCAATAAAGAACAATTAGGAACTCATATGATTGAGAGATAGTGGCCTTACTAATTATCTTTGGGGGAGATGGAGATAGCGACAGGGAAGGAAGAGTAGGGGTGAGCAAACTTAAAGAGATTTTGACAAAACGGTGAGGTGGAAGACTTGTAGAGTCACTATATAAAGATGTTTAATTAGACCCTCTGTTCTTGACTCGGCCGAAAATAAGGTGCGGTAGGTAGAGCCAGTTGATGCACCTGGGAGTTTATCAATTGCTAACTTTCTATTATTTGTTAATGTTGGGCACTGCCTAAACCTTTGTCTCAACATCACACCAAGTTCCAGTAAATCTCTTTAATTTTCCATTTTATGGTGACATTTCACAACAAATAATTAATCTTAAATCGAATAATGTGTTATTTGAAGTTTGAGTAGTAATAGTTAGACAACATTAATATTTTGTTCTTCTAATTTTAGTTTGGTCATATATTTATTTTTTGTTTGGTCTTTTAATATTTAAGAGGATCAAATAAAAGACTAAGATAATAATTTTGTGCAATAAATAAAAAGAGGTAAATTGAAGTGGGGTTAAGTTTAAGAATGTTGGCGTATATTTCCGAGTCAATTTCGTTGCCTTTGAATGCTTGAAAGTTCTTAGGCGACCCATGCGGTTGGTGGCAATGGCACGAGCGCCACCGTTCATTCTACCAACCCATCAATAAACAAGTGTGTTATATACAGCTAAATTTTGTACTCTTCTGCGCCATTTGCTTATTCCGTTGTTGTTCAATGTGGACCTAAAATTCAATTACTCCAGTCAAAAAATAGCACCACCATAACAATTTGGGTTCCCAAGGAATGAGGTTTGTGCCAAAGTAAGAAACTACTGCTTCTATTGCCTTCAATCCTGCACCTATAAACCCCTGTTTAACATTTTCCAAAGACCAAAAAATGTTTCTAAATTTTAAGAAATATTAACATCAGACTTTAAGATTAATTTTGGATGACTAACATAATAATTTTTTATTTAATAAGTATTTATTACTCTATATTTTTAATATAATAAATATTTTTAATAATATTTTATTATTTTTTAAATATTTGAATTTATCCTAAAGGCTATTTTAACAAAGTCCTAAATTTTTATTAACGGCTGTGCTAGCTTCTACAAACCAGCAATCTTGCGTGCTATACCTAACTTAAAAAACGAATTGTCAGGCACACTCCATGATTTTCTATTTGTTTAAACAAATAAACTATTGAAACTCTATGTGTTGACTAACCTTTATCCATTTGATTAGCAACTTCTACAGTTTTGTTTTGGATATAAAGATTATAATTCTTTTAAATAAAGCAACTTAATTCTAAGGATATTTTTAATAACTTAAAATATTAAATTCGATGAATAAAATGAATATTGAAAACTTACTTTAATAAAAAATTTATATATCATAAAGTTTAAAAAAACAAAAAAAGAACCATGCAAATGACTTAAAGTCTACTCTTCTTAAAGATTGACAGGGTCATTTTAAAACAGCACTGCCATTTCCTGAACCAAGACAAGCCTCGATGTTTAAATTAAGTGCTATTAATTAATTTATTGGATGTGTGGATAAAGTTACTTCACTCTTAAGATAAAGACAAAGTTTAAATCCCAGAAGGTAAAACTATTTTAGAAATTAACTATCCCTATTACATTTTTCTACCCATTTAGTATTTTTTTATTACATTATCCGTCTCATTATTATTCTTTTGTACATTGTTTTTGTCCAGTTAATTTAAAAAAAAAAAGGTTTGAAATAATATTTTTCTTAAGAAATTGCTATCATTAATGTGATACTCAATGAGTCTCACTCTTACGTCAATGCCACGGGATTAATCCAAAAACAATGTTAGGAGTAATTATATTAAACTTAGAAAAAGTGTAATTTAAAATTAATAGTGATCCTTGTGCTGGGGACCTGTTTTTGTTCCTGGGGATCACATGAGAGCTTGGCTAGCACGTCTCTTCAGGAATATTATAAGAATTGTTAAATCTGGCATGCTTCAGGAAATACCATATCGACAATATAACTGGTTCTTTATGTGTTTGATATATTTCCTTTCATAATGGCGAGGATCATCATATAATTGTAGATGGAGTATTCAATTTCACTTGTTTTGGGTGATCCTACGAGCCTCCAACTTAGAGTCAGTACTTTGTTCTTTTCCAGGGGAGGTTGTATTTTCAAGTTTACCAAATGGGCTTAGTTTTGTTGAACACGGGAATCCATTCTTTTCAACATTGTTTCTCTTTTGAACTCAAAGTTCCCCTATTGACCAAAAAAAAAAAAACACCAAAATTCCCTCCATTTCACTGGTGGCAAACATATTACCAAGAAAATAAAACTAATAAAAGCATAAGCTATTGGAAAGGAAACTTAAAAAAATTTTAAACATAAAAGCAGCTATTTTTCAAAGGGTGCTTCAGAGAGAAAGAGAAGCAAAAATGAAAAAATGGGGCCAATACAATTAACAGGCCGAATGGAAATGTTAATGTACCGGCAAAAACATTGAGGCCCTGCAACCAAAGAAAATGGAGGTCTACCATTCAAACAAAGAGTACTGAAGTTATATAGTTTTATTAATCTATCTAATTTTAATCGTTTGCAGGTACATAGTTTTGCTGATAACCTTTTATAGACAGTTTTCATTTGTGTTTATTTTGTGTAGGTCTTGAAAGGGGACTTACATGTTATAAAATTCAATGAGAAAGACAAAATTGAAGATGGATTTCCATGAAAATGAAGAGGTATTATTGCGTTATATATGATATTGTTTATTTGAGTGTAAAAATTGTTGTATTCTCAACATCATTTTAAAAGTATTGTTTTGTGATTTTGTTATAGGGTTTGGCAAAGAAATGCTTTGAAGGTGAGAAAATAGGTAGTTCTGATGAATGATGCACTATATGATAGGTATGTTAATTTGTTTCAGTTATCTATGAATGCTATTAAGAAAATGAATTTCGGTAAAGTTGATGAAGCATATGATTTTTTTAATAAATATAGTAAAATGAATGACTTTAATGTGAAAAAATAAAAATAAAAATAAGAATTGTGTTGTTGTAACATTTTGTATTTAAGCGAAGATTTTTTATGATAAATATATACAACTAAGTCTAATCAAGTTAAGCACCATGGACCAATTACTAAATTTGGCTGAGTTAAGATGCACTACATGTAAAAAGAAAGTGTTTAATAGTGTCACATTTTTTTATGATCATAATCATAATTTTTTTGTGAAAATTATTATGAATTGTTAAGATCATAGTAAAATTTAAACAAATGTGAATAACAAAGAAGAGTGATATAAGTACTTTGAGAATTTATAGCTTATTTATTAATTATAAAGACAGTTAAAATGATTAAATTTCAAAAGAAAGATATATATAATCAAATTAAAAGAAATAGATGAGTACATGATAGGAATATGAAAGAGGTATAAAAATTTTAATTAGTTTGTCTAAAAAGAATCTAAAGTTATGTTAGTTTCATTAAGTTTGTTATGATAATCTTCTATATATATATATATATATATATAAGATTGACTACATTTACTCTATCAGTGAGTGTATTAAATTTTGAAACGTAACTTCTACTTATTACTTTATATATTAAAATTCAGAATATATAAAGTGTTTTCGTTGACTTAACTTACTTATTATTCTGTATATTAAAATTTAAAACGTATAATTGATGAATTAAAATAATATTTTATTTATATTTATTATGTTTGAATTGTATTTAAAAAATATTTATTAGTATTGATGGTTATATTACGTTACAAACGATAATATTTTACATATATACTATTTATTAGTATATATAGCTTAAATTGTATTTAAAGAATATTTATTAGTATTGATGGTTATATTATGTTACAAACGGCAACATAAATATTTATACTATAAATTAGCTTAAATTATCGTTATTAAAATTAATTATAATATTTTTCATAATTTATAAATTAAAATTATTATTGTATTTCAATATAATCTATATTTTATTATGTATTTCAAACACTAAAATATATTTTGAATTAAAAAAATTAAACTTACAAAATTATTAGTTTATAATATATGTTATTAAATTGAATTTATAATAAAAGATAAAGCATCTAAGGATTCAAAAATTAATGTTGCAATATTCACATCCACTATTGTAAAAGAATTTTAAGGTAATTGTTTTATTATATTTTTAAAATATTTTATTTTAAAAAGTTATATATATATATATATATATATATATATATATGCTTCATATTTAATTATAAAAATATGAGTGTATATATTATAGGTAATATTTCTATTTCCACGTCAAGATCAACAAAGATCTATGTTAATATTGACATACCAGAAGTTACTCATTTTATAGATTCATTCAAGTATTAAAATTATCTAAATCTCCATGTTATGTTATTTATTGCTAATTTTTTACTTTTCATCTTAACTATATTTTTAATTATTCATTATCACTTTATTGTAAGGATTTTAATTATGTGCATATTGCTGACAGTGTTGATAATACAAGATCTACCATTCTTCTTAAGTTAGAAAATTTCAAAAACATATCTGAAATTTTAATAATGGCAAAATTAAAGAGTGATATGGTAAATTTAATTTTTCTTATACTTTGTTTTTCTTAATAAATTTTTAAACTAATTTTTTAATTAATTTTCAGAATGTCGTTATTGGTTGTAGTGTAACTGTGAACGATATATTACTTAAAAATGGTTGGTATTATATTTCTTGTCCCATTGCAAGAAGAAAGTTTCTTTCACAATTACAAATTTTAAATGTGAATCATGTTATAAAGATGTTGATTATCCAATGACAAGGTAATAAATTTATCACTATATATTCTAATTTTTAAATTTTCATGATAAAATAAATCGAATTATATTCTATTACCTTGATTTATATAAATTACAGGTTTCGTCTTAAGCTTGATGTTAAATATTCTACATATTCAACTATATTTGTTTTATTTGATGAAGTTGTTGAAGAATTAGCACAATAAAGTTAAAAGATCTTATTGTAACATCTGAAATTGTAAGCAAAAATGTTAAGTTCTAACTTATTGAAAAATTTAATCAAATGATTGATTATATCAATAAAATATATTAAAACATATAACTATTTTTATGCGATAGTTTTTTTAAGGGTGATGGTGAAGGGTTAAAGTTGTCTCCACAACTTTTAAAGATTATTGGCACTTCACATATTTTTCAAATAAAAATGAGTACTTACTTTGAAAGTCGTGAAAGATAAAATTTCATGATAAATAAAATTGTGAAGCCGATAGTAAAGGTAATATAGAAGATTAAATTGAAGTTTCATTACTTTTATCTCTAATGTTTGTAGATATGATGATGAATAACTTTATTTTCATTGTCTAATATTTACAGATTGAGAAGGAAGAAGGTTTAGACAATACAACTACAATAACAAAAGAAAATAACTTGGTAATAAGTTGTTCACATATATCTCTAAATGTGGAAACACCAAATTTACCAAAAAGAAGAAGAAAATTAATGTATACATTATAAATTTATAATTTATTGTTCAAATTCTTAGATCATTCAGTAATTTATATTTGATATTTTCTTTTAGGTTGTAACTTGAGGAAGACGAAGGAAAAAATGGTGAACATAAGGCAAGAATGGAAAATTTCGAAGATTGAACCATTTCTATTGAAATATTATATAAATACTTTTAATATTGTGTAGAATCTAAAAAATAAAATGTCATCAAACATTTACGTCTTTTTATAAAATAATTTTATTATTTTATTATATATCTCTCTCTTACTTTATTATGTATTGATTTTTATTCTTAGACAAATCTTATATGTGACTTATTTAAATTTTATATTATATCAATATCTGTAATTTTAATTGATATAAAAATTAATTTTTATAATAAATACAATCATTCTTTACTTTTAGTTTTTACCTAAATCTTAATTAAAATTTTTTTAACAACTCTTTTTTTCTCTTATACTATTATTTTGTTTTTTTTTTAAATAATTTCATAAGAATTGATATATTATAATTATGTATAACCTATTAACGTAAACAATATTTTATTTATATTTTATATATAATAATTATGATGACAAGTTTAATTTTTTTAAATTAAAAATTAACAACATTTATCCTTAATAATTTTGATGCAATGTTTCTTTTTATAAAATATTATAATGAAAATGATAAATTCAAAATTCTTCAATTAAAACTAATTAATTATAACAATTAAACTAAATTAAATATTATTAAAAATCATAACAATGAAAATAAATTTGATTTGATTTTTAAATCTTTAGGTAACTGTTCTATTTTTATATTTAAAACTTTTATATCGTAATGAATGAATAAGTAAAGAAAATGTAACGTGTTAACTCTGAATTAAGTTCAAGTATTATATTTAATTTATATATATATATATATATATATATATATATACCATTTGTTTCAAAAGTTAACGAATATTTATAAAAAGACTTTCAATTTGAAAAAGATAAAGTTTAGTGTTTAAAATGTTATAGAAGTATTTTTTATATTAACATATGAAATTATATTTGTTTATTAGAATTTTATATTCTAACTATATGATTATTCAAAAATTTTAGATTGAAATATATGTTCTAATACTTTTGAAAATTTTTCTGAGAGCATTCAATTGCAAATACAGATAACAGTGCTTCCTAATGAAAAAATTCAATCATTTTATGGACTTACAATTAGTTCCCAAAATACAAATCAAAATACAGTTATTATACATCAAAATATGAAATCAATATAAATATTTTTTTATTAATATAATTATTTATTATATTATATTCTTAAAATTATATATTTTTTAATTTTAAAAAAATATTTAAATCAGGTTCACTGAATATTAACCTTTTTTGTAGGACCAAGTAATGTATCAGGTAATGTTTAAATTACAAGAACATTCTAATGTAGCATCACTAAATTATACATATTTTAATTTTACAATACTATTCCAATATGTATGATATTGTTTGTAAATAAATTTATTTATATAACAATACAAAAAATAATATATTTTAATTTGAATACATTACAGTATAATTTTTTTTTATGTATTTATACTGAAATTTTTATTATTATCATTTTTAATTATGATAGTAATAATTTATTTATTTATAAAATAAAATATTTGTTAATATCATCATTAAAATTTTTTAACAAAAATAATTACAGAAAGTAATATTGGTACTAAAATACTTATTCCGCGGATAATTTTAACAGCAAATGATTTCCAAGTAGCCTTTTCTTTTAAGAAGAAAATAATTTTCAATAAAAGTATGTTATGTAATGACAATAAACAAAAGTCAAGGACAATCGTTAAATTATGTTGAATTATATTTGGCAAAACCTGTATTTAGTCATGATCAATTATATGTTGCATTGTCTAGAGTAACGTCAGCAAAAAGAATAAAAATCCTTATTATTGAAGAAAATGACAAATATATAGGATATACAAAAGATGTTGTATATAAAGAAGTATTTCATAATTTTCTTCAATGTAATTATATTTAATATAATAATTTTTTATTATATTTATATATTTTTATATTTAAATTATATATTTTAAAATAAATTAATTTAATAAAAATAAAATGCAACGCACAGACATATTTACTAGTGTTATTGTATTTTAGTATAATAATATGAATCAAGTTGATCATAAAGTATTTAATGATGCTCTTAGTTTTAATGTAACTTATAAGAGAAATAAGTACAAATTTTTAATTGTTGTATTTTATAGTGTTAATCATTGTAGATTTTAGTTATACTATTTTATTAGATAAAAATGATGAGACTTATATATAGGTTTGTGAACAATATATAATAATAATTAAAAAAAAATAAGTCTCTTAAAGTTGTATTATTGATTTGTTTATGAAAAATATTATAAAGAAAGTGATAACAAATGTATCATTATCACATCTAAGTATGCATTTGAAAGGAATGTGACAATTAATATTCACATCCAAATGTTTAATAAATTATTTACAAAATATATGCCTGATGTCCTTGATATTAATATTGAAGAATTTGAAGCTAAATTGATAGTAAGTACTGAGACTGTGATTTAGCACATAATGTATGGATAAATGAAGTGTAATGAATTAAAGCAATAGAAAATTTGTTTGGAACCATCACACAGAGACATATGTTGTTTTTGTCTGGCATAGAATCTATCTTTTGGCTTGCTTTCTCAAAAAACAGAAAATTTAGTGATTCATAAATAAACATTTAAAATTGAAAAAAAATATCTATTATCACTTAAAAATGTCTATTATGATTTTTTTTATTTAAGATTTTCTTATTCAAATATTATTATTATTATTATTATTATTATTAATATTAATATAACTAACGAATAAAATTGATAAAAAATAAAATATAATATAGTTCCATATGTTAAATAAATTTGATGAATTTAAAATTTAAAATTTGAAAACAAGTAACAGACGCAAATGAAGTTGTTGCTTATACGATACTAACCGATCTTAAACTGAATTTAATATTTTAACAATTTTGTCGTCATGATGGGTAAGTTGCAGTTGCATTAACAGTCACATGAATCACAATTGAGATGAAAAAATTTCCGCGTAAACGCGGTTGGGTAATCATTGAGGAGTCACGAGGAACAAAAAAAACACGGGGACAAACAATAATTAGTTAGGCTTCCATGCGTAGGCGTTTTAAAGACCGCAAAATTGATGACGTGGAGATCCGTTTGTTCCACGTGTCATCCACGTTGCTCTCTATTGGCCAAGCTTTCCACGAAGCGAATGCCCCCTGTGTGCCCGCCCTCGCAATCCATGCACTTTTCGCGTGCAACCTCGTGCCACTCTCGTATTCGTTTCTCTACATCACACGCCCACCCAATTAGCAATCACCTACACCCCCATTTAAATACTCCCCTCCTATGATTCAATCTCCACCGTCTGCTCCAACTATTGACTCTGAAGTAATCACATCGTGTGGATATCTGAATCCGAAACCTAATTCCCACTCCATGGACTCTCGATTCACGCATGAATCGTAACACTATTTATCGGGCTTTTAAATTTGAAGGCTTCGCTTAACAAGTATTATCGTAATCCATCTGCTTCTAATTCATCTTTCTCTTTCTTTTTCGTCCCTCAAACGCAATCTTCATTATTCCCACAACCCCAACTAGACGCAACAGCTTTCGCGTTTCTCATTCTTTCGCTGTTCCCTTCGTTCTGAGTATTCTTCGACGCTTCCTTCTCCGGCCATCGTAAGAGATGGCGTCGTCTATGAGCATTGCCTGCGGCGGAAACAACGGCGTCGCTGCCAATCTTGGAATTCACGAGCGGTGTGGTGTAGCACGTGCGCCGCCGTCCTCCGTGGCGATCGGGAATTCGACGGTGAGGAAGGTGAGGATTACGGCTGCGATGCCGACGGCGAGGGGACTGGAGAACCGGACGCGCTTGGAATTGTTGGGGAAGAGGGAGGGAGGGGCGAAGGATGCGGTTGAGGGGCAAGAGAGGTTGGACAAGTGGATGAAAGAGTCGGTGGTGGAGATTGTAAAGAATTTGAAGGAAGCGCCGTTGCTTGTGCAGGTTTATCCAAAGAGGAACAGCGAAACGGCGGCGTTGACGACGGAGAGGAAGGTGGTGGTGGAGGATTGGCCTGCGGTGAAGGAGAGGTGGGAAGCAGGTGAGACGCCGGTGCCGGAGGGAGTTATATTTGTGGAGGAGTTGAGCGGCGATGAGGCGGAGGACGGCGGAGAGGAGAGGACGACGAGGGCTTGGGGGATTGTGGTTCAGGGGAAGGGTGTTGGGTGCGGTCCGGTTTGTTATTTGTTGAAGACGACGAGGGTCGGGTCAGGACCCGGTTCTGGAATGGGGATTTGTTCGACCCACTTTTGCTTGATGAAAGTGAAGAATTTCAGGGAAACGGTGCAGTCGCAGCTCCAGAATTGTTGGTTGTTGCAAAGTCATTGGCAGTGAAATTGAATTGTACATTTTTTATTGAATAATTAATTTTTTCCGCGGTTATGGCAATTATAGCAAAGCTGACTGTGGATTTGTACAAAGTGAAGCTTTTAGCTAAGTGGATCTACAAACTGTGAAATAGTAGTGATTATTATTTTGCATTATTTGGAAGACTATACCCCGTTTCTAAGGGCTTTCTTTTATTTACTATTTGTTTTTTGTTTAATCATTTGGCTTATCAGAATTGAACTAGTTCTTGATAGTCATGTTTGGAGTTTTGCTCGTTTCTAATGGATCCGATTTTCTGAATTATTCGTTGTTTGATTCATAGTATTCTTGATTCAATTTAAATCTGAATAAATAAACAGAGATCTGTGATTGTTTCTCTTAAATAACTACTGAATAGATTGAAATACACACTTTATCATTTATTTGATTCATCAAATTTAATAGATCCAATTCAAGATTGTCCAGGGTCTAGCTTGAATTATTTTTTTAATAAACATTTATAAAAAAATATAAAGAAACATTAAATTCTTTAATAAATTAAAATTAGCTTATGTATTTGTTTTTAGAAGATTTTTTATTTAACTTCTTTAAAATTGAAGTAGTATAAATTGATTAAGATTATTTTTCTATAAATTCTTTTAAAAAAAATAATTCAAACTAAACTTGGATCTCCCATGATCATGTACCAAGGCATTAAAGTGAAATAGTGCTTTTGGACAAAGTATACGATGAATCAGGGTTAAAAATTAATGATTGGCTGGTTGTTCTCACTTATGTGGTTAAAGGATGTCATTTTCTTCGCTACAGAGGAAAATTTTAGAAAAAGAATGATATTTATTAAAATAATGCAATTTCAAGAATTAGTAAAAGAAGAGATGACATTGATTAATATTTAATTGTATTGCATATGTTTTATTTTTTAAAGTATTGTTATATATTTAAATTTTTATCTTTCTTATTTTATTTATTTATTTAGGTGATGAAGAAGTTGATATTTTTGAGCAGATCTCATTTTATAATTCAATTATATGATCAATTATTAATTCTAAAATAAGTTTTTGAAATTATTGAACAATTTATTTATAAAATTAATTATTAATAAAAATAAACAACACAATACATATTTTAATTGAATCATTCACATAATTATTTTTAATACTCAATGGTTATAAAATATTAATATTTTTTATTCTAAACTAACATTCACAATAGTCATGCAAAATATTAATTCAAGAAAGCATAAAATACTTATTAATTTGTTAATTTAATAACAATTGAAAGAAAAAAATTAGTTTAGTCCACTTAATCATTTGTATGTTAATTTCATAATGATTGTAATAGAAAGATTGGTTTAATCCACTTAATCCTTTGTCTCGTTATTCATTAACTAATCGAGGTACGGTCAGTTTGACCTCATCCAATAGAATTACGAAGAAAGAAGGCTAGGCTTCTTGAACCAGAGCTAATTTGATCTCCCTCGACAATTATGCGCAATAAGATAAACAATAATCATAGATAAAAATGAAACATAGATTCAAACTTCAAAATCTTATAAATTCATGAACAAGGATTCTCATGACTCTAGCTATAGACTTAGTTACTTATGCTTGAGAAAAAAAACTAAAATAATCATAAAAAAAAATCATAATCAAGAGAAATAACAAACTAGATATGAGATGAGTTACCGGTCTTCAAATACTGTCACTCAAAGCTCCAAGTTTTGCCAAAAGTATGCTAAAGGATCGAGAGCAGCGTAAAAAGATGAGAGGTGCATCACAAATTAAAAACAAGTCATCTCAGTTGAATGACTAAGGTCTCTTTTTAATAGAATTTAAAAATTCTAAAAGCTCTTTATAATTGGCTTTACTGCAGATGAGCACAGTCGTGCATGGGTTCAAAGCACCCTTATGCTTGCTTCTAAGGTATAGGTGTACTAACTGCTATGAAGCTCTATTTTTTAACCAATTTGGACCCAAAATATGTCTTAAAATCAATTATGGCTTTTTTATGCTAAACTGCAAAATTAATATATAAATCAATGCAAAATTAAAATAAAATAAAGATTAAATATAAATATATAAGCTATAAAAGTTGAAAAAAATATGGACTTATCAATACTAAATAAAAATTTTCATCTTGATGGTGATTAAACAAGTGGAAGTAGTATTTTCATCTTGGTGGTGATAAAGCAAGTGGAAATAGTATTCTAATAATATTTGTTATTTTTATTTCTTTATTTTAGTTTTTAGATGTTATTTCTAAAAGATTTGTTGTTTTGATGAACTTTGTTTTATTATATTCAAACTTTTATATGTAACTTTGACTATTAAAATTTAGAAATAGTGTATGATTTTTATCTTTTAATGTTATGAAGTTATAATATTATATATATATATTTTAAAATTATTTAATATATCACTTATTTAAAAATATTATTTAATTTGACCATAGTTTGACTACAGTTCAACATTAAACCTTAAACAATTTTTTAATTTTAATATGGTATGTAAGTTATGAAAATACCAGAATATGAATTTTTCTGCAAAAGTACAGATCTGGGATATTTTAAAAATCGCTAGTGACGAGTTTTATTGGCTCCGACATCAAGCTACCATGAATAGAGATTGCAAAGTTGCAGGGTGCCTAAAAAATCGTGACTGGTGAGTTTTAATGGCTTTTTCCCTTATTAGAGCTTGTTTTTTGTCTTCCCGAAGCTTTGTGCTCTACAAAGTACAGTCCTGCAATTGAAAAATCGTTACTCGTGATTTTTACCTGCATATGACTTTTTCCCTTCACGGAGCTCTATGCTATGCAAAGCACAATCCTGCAATTGAAAAATTGCCACCTATGATTTTTACCTGCATAGTAATAGTTTCATCTGTGGTTTTCTACAGATGGAGTTGGAAGAAGTAACTAGGCTTATAAATATGAGTTGGACGATGTTGTATCCGCAGATGAGAAAGGGCAGTAAGAAAAAGAAAGGGAGAAAGAAGATTAGAGAAGAAGGAGGTTATAGAAGAAGATAGTGCAAAGGAAGAAAAAAAATTGAAAAAAATTAGAAATTTTTTGTGAAGAGTTACAAAATGGTTCAGGAGGCAACTATGGAATTGTAAAAACATATTTTTGAACGTATTCGTACTCAAAATGTAAGTATATATTTATTTTTTAATTCATGCAATGTAGTATAATAATTTTTTTTAATTATATTTTGTTTTAGTTATTTAGTAGGACATCTCGTGGGTTACTTTACAGATATGACTTTCTCATTGATGATGCTAGACCTTCTCTTGTCATTCTTCAATGTAGCTTTAACCTTAATGAAGACGCAATTGTGGATGAAAGGAATAACGATGATGAAGACATTTATCAACCTGAACTTATGACAACAGAGTGTGGTGGTACTTCTCAGCAAACATTTTCATTGGGTAAGCAGTATTTTATGCAATCATGTCTTGAGAGATGATACAGCAGCATAGCATGTGTATAGATACATCTAAGAATGTGGTACAAACAAAACCTACAGTTGACGAGGAAGTCACACACGAGGCCATAAATGATTAGGGTGTTGGGGATGACGGTCCTACCAGAGGAAGATGAAGGAGATTTTTTTCACGCATGTTGCATCCTTTCACCGATGCCTCTGATAGATATAGCCCCTCATTAATCAAGAAGAAAAAGGAAAAAATGTGTTTGTTTAATATTTATGTTTATTTTTATGTTTAATTTTCGTTTTCATTATCGTCTTAATACTTAAGCAAAGGATGTTATTTATATTATGCAACTTTATTTGTCAGTAAAATGAAGCTTTGTTTGTTAGTTAAATATCATATGATTTATCATCTTTTAATGCATATACTCTTTCAAAATATAACAAATATTGCAACGACCTTTATATTTATAATTAAACAAGACCACTTTATCTTACATGACGATAACAACTTAATCATCAACAACAACATAAATTAAAACAACATAAATTAACACAACAAATCCAAATAAGTAAATTAAAACAACTACATCAACTAAATATTCAATAAAATAAAACAACAACATCAACATTGCAAACTGGACCCAGGAGCATTTAGACATGTTCTTCTACCATGGCTTTTGCCTCGTCAAAGAGTGCAACATCGTGTTCTTCTCATCTCATGCCTATCCATGAAAACGTGTTGATTTTGGATGACCTCTTATTATGCGCTTTAAAGTTGGGTTAGAAATTAGTTTTGGGCCTCTATATATCCGCCATATACTTTTGTTTCTAATGACTCGAACTCTTTCTTGTATACTTTGCACAACTCGTTTATCTTATAAACATCATCGACAAGTAAAGGAGTTATGAGAATATACATTTAATGGTAGGAGTTAGGGCTTATAATTTGTATTAACTGTAATTTGTTTTAAAACAATATATAGTTTAATGGTAGGAGTTGGGGCTTGACGCTTATGATGTATCTAAAACATTTGTTAAATATCTTCATTGGTTGTTATTGCAATTTTTTGGTATTGTATGAAACCTCTAAAAATAGAAATCAGACACATGTACATTATACTTTACTATTTTTGGAGTCTTCACTTCAAGATATTGATAAAGCCAATATTTTAGTGCTTCATATGATATATTATAAGGAATATGCATATAAATTGGCTTCTCACATATAAATCTCATACCTTCAGTTATATTTGTAATAATTTCACTATTAAAGTACACAATTGTATTTGTACTCATTCATTTCTTCAACTATAATCAACTTGTAAAAATAAATAAACAAAAATAAGTAGCAGAAATGCAATAGAATCCTTTAAAGAAAGGAGAGAAATGGCAATGGGCTATATGTAGAATGAAATTTTAAAAAATGCCGCTAGCGATTTTATTTTTTAAAAATTGCCACAAGCAAATTTTACTGCAAAATTTCAAGCATTTTTTAAAACTTGCTATTGACAATTTTTGAACTCTTTTTAACACTCACTAGTAGTAATTTTTACCATCATAAACTTTTTTTTTCTCTTAAAACTCTACTGTCGACTTTTAATATAAAATTACTTTTTCTAATGTATTTTCCATATTTATATTTTTTACCTAGTCCATATTATGGTAATTTCCTGAAAAAAAATCTCATATAAAAAAAATGACCCACCTTAAACCAGTGTTTTGACCCGTTCAATAACCGGTTCAATTTCCTTAACATTACTTATTTATTATCAATTATAATCAAGTTTATGCATTTTACTTGGCATAGAATCAATTTCAAACTTCAGAAGGGGTGGTTTTTTTTTTTTTAAAGAATTTCAAGGATGCAAATACACAAACAGGCTAATGGCTATTCCTCTCAATCATGTAAATTTAAAACCGTATTTATTTTACAAATTTTCTAATATATCCAAAGTATATAATAGAAAATCAATAAACAATTTTTTATTTAAAAACATAACATTTAATATTATCAATATATTAAATTGTGATATTTTACTATTTTTTATAATAATTGCTTTATATTATTTATTGTTATATAACTTTAAATACATATTAAAAAAATCATTTATTTTAAAATTATAAACTTAACTGTTGCATTTCTATATGTAAAAATACATTCTAATAAAAAGATTATTCAATTAAATAAAGCACGCATCTCAATTTCATATAATAATTTAAAAATATTTTCATTAAAATCAGTTATTCTTAACTTCAAGTCAAATGAATACTAGATATTATAAATAAGCAAACTTTAAGAAGAAAAAAAATGAAACAAGTTATTTATACAAGTAACTTTTCACCAAACACGTTACAACAATTATCAACTAATCAGAAAGAAATAATTTAGTGAAAAGATAAAATTAAAAAATAAAAATTACTACAAAACATTATAGAAATTTTATGTTTTTGTGCACCTACTAAAATTCAATTTCCATTAAATATGTAATAAAATAAATTTCTTTGTAAACCTGATTTAGGGGAATATATGCCGCGCTGGATAGCAAAATGATTGTGTAATCATAATCATTTCCACTTGAGCATACATATCTGTTAGTGTATACATAGCAAAATGATTACGCAGATACTAAAATATAAATGAACACAGCATGGCAAGGTTTTTTTTTTTTTTTTTTAATATTTACAAACTCTGCTAGCAGTTTTCTTGCAAGGAATACAACAGTGGAATTACAAAGAAAATCCGTTTGGTATGTTAGCGTTTGAACGCTCAAAATATAGTGGTGTCTTGGTGTATATTGTCAACCTTACAATTTGTTGAAGGGATGCTGCATATCTAAACCCAATTAGGTGCCATCTTGCTGGAGGCAGGTTTTGAAGGATCATCCGAAACCTTGGCAAGGGAGCGATACTGCAACTTTACACTCTCTGCATTGTCCAATGTCTTCACCACATACCTGTACATGAGTCTTTTATTAACGGGCTTCTTTGAAAGCAACATCTTCGAGTATAAATAATGTACCCGTACGAGAGAAACCATATGATTTTTCTCCCTCTGCCTATCAACCTTACAATGCCTTGCGTTATATTTTGTTTGTGCATAGTAGTTTGGCATGTTAATACATTAATAAATACTAATCAACATAGCAAACCAAGGATTAAAACTAACTGCTAAAGGAAAAAAATAAAATAATATATATATATGTGAAATCACTAACCATCCATTCAGGCATTGCGTTGTTACAATAGCTTCTCGCCCTACAAAGCGCTGTGGTGTCCTTTTGTTCCCCTGATCCATTTTCTCTCCAGTTATTTGCTTTTACAGATTTAATATATATATATATATATATTAAAAAGTCAAAAGACTTAAAAGTAAATTCAAGCCTGTTTACATACTACCTTTATTATAACCCTGTCCATCACGGCAAAAGGAAACTGAACGCCTCTACTCCTTGGTAGTTCCATAACAGTTGAATCTCCAAAACCACCCTGTCCTATGTAAATATATTTCATGTTAGAAAATACAAGGGAAAATGTCAAGACAAAACATTAGTAACTTAAAGGCAACCTAGGTGATTCCAGATTTTCTTTTCACCTCTCTTTCTCAAATCTCACTCTGAGATATAAAGATGGTTGGGGAATGAAAATACACACCTGATCAAGTCTTTCTCTTCTTCTTTTGGCTGACCGGTAAAATTGTGACTCCTCTTCCCGACGGTATGCCTGCACAGCAGCTCGAAGTGCTGTTCAAGACAGCCAGCACCCCAAGAATATAATGTAAAATAGAAAATCAAAATTGTGCATCACAGTATGAATAAGTACCATACTTTTCTATATTTAAATATAAAATTATTGTTTGAGACCAGAACTTATTTAAGCATAGATAAACGAATTTCAATATAATTTACTTACATAGGTTTGGAGATATTGATTCCTCTGATGTAGGTTGAGAACACGTGCAGCAAACTTTCTGAGAATGCATAACACAACTACTATATTAGCTAGTTGACCACATGTAAATTCCTGAACGACAAGTTTTCTGATATGGATAACGAAACTTAATAATAAGAAACCTAAGTTGAAAGTACCTAGCAAATAGCCACTTGCCAAAACAGGTTAAAGATCAATTTAAGGTGGGAGCCACGTATAACTCCTGAAATTTCTATAACCTACTTTGGGCCAAGTAACAACCCAAACGATAATTGAAACCACTATGGTAACTGAACTTTTGGACTTGCCATATGAGTTCTAAGTTACTCAAAGCATTACTACATTCTTATCTCCTAGGGACTCTTCACCTAGTGTTTGGTTGAGGAATACCACATGTACTTATTTTCATAATAAAGGACAAGACTTTTCCTTAATGTAGTCATACAATGTATATTTGATCTTTTTCTCAATTTAAAACTGATTTGCAATCGAAACTGAGCCTTGGACATTTTCTTTTGAAATTAGATGGGGGGAAGCAGATGCCAAAAAGTGACATTTCATCTGGATTCCTACCAATATCATCTTGAGAGCAAAGAAGATTTTTAACTTCTATGCTTTGACACGAGAGTCATGAGAAGAGCAGAGGATTCTACATTTCTATTCTGTCATGGTATATGAAAGCAAATGATTGTCCCTTTCTTTCCTAATTTAATAATTTTGACATACTTCATACTGTTGTCAGTAAAGTGACACTGAATCACACATGCAGTCTGAGAACAGTCTAATGTGATCAAGATCAAAGCAAAAGCCCAGAAGACCAATAGATGACACAAGTAAGATGCAGAAGCAATATCAATGTATCCTAGACCCAAAGTAAGATACATGAAAGCAAGTAAACCGGCCTATTTCTATCGCTCAGGGGAATTATATTGCAAAGAAGTACTTATTCACTTTCACAATATAGTCACTAGAAGCTTTGAGAGTCCTTCCATTCTACTGTGTGGAGGCATATATATGATAAAAAGAGGTTGAAATTACCAGCTCCATGGTTAATAATATTTTTCAGATGACTAGTCACAGAAATGGTCAGTCTGAAAATTATGGCATTTGATGGCTTAGAACCCACCATTCTAATAACATTCAGTATTCCACCTCCACCAAATGAATGTCCACAAGGTAATATCATCGCATCATCCATAAGTGCTCCCCTGCATTTTCAGAGGAAGACATCAATCAAATATAAACAGCACAAGCTGGTCATAAGCATGAATATGTAAGTTGGAGTACATTAGCAATAAAAAACAAAAGCAAATTATGAAAACTGAACTTGATTGACTTCACATAAAATCAAAGATTTCTCAACCATACATAAAAGAAAGGACCTGTTACTTTGGAAGAACTTATAAACTGATGAAGGTGGCTTATGACTTTGCATAAGCTACTTTTAGCTTATTTGAATAAGCTTCACAATCAAGCTCATAATAAACTCCTGTTTGATAACAACTTACCAAATAAACATTTAGTTAAGCTGCTCATCCAAACACATCTTAAAACTCTCGGCTGTAAAATGAGTTAAGACTTACGTAACAGGATCTGAAAGAATCGCCCTCAATGACTCCCCGGACTCGCTTGAATACATAACATCCTTTCTTCCACTAAACCCACAACCATTGTCATCTACCATAACTTTCTGCACTGAAGCAGACCCTTCAGTACCTTGAAGATAGTGCGAATAGTACTCCTCACAGTCAGTTTCTGCAACGGTGACAGAATTCTGGGATTTTCCCAACCCTTCTCGCTCATGATCTTCATCACCACCACCCACATTATTATGCACCAATTGCCCAATATCACCACCATCCTTCCCCAACAGCTCTCTACCAGAAACTACAATTCAAAAATTACAAACCAAAAAAGCGAAATTGTTACATTCAAAAACCCAAAAGCAAGCGACAGCATTTTTTAAAAAGGAAATTAAAGATGCAAAATTTTCTCATTCATACCATACGGGGAATGATGCTGAACTTTCCCATTTGCCACAACAGGCAAATTGCTAACACCACCACCACTACCGTTGTTATTATTGTTAGCATCATTCATTGCGCTGGAACTGCGCTTGCTTCCATCACCAACGAGGCCTTCTACTTCGGCGTCGCCTTCAACGTCTTCGTCATCGTCGTCATCGTCATCTTCATCATCGTCTTCGTCGTCGTCGGACTCGTCGCCGCTACGAGTCGCGGCGCTGCCGTTGCCGCTCCAATTCCGAGCGTCCGGCGGGTCCCGGCGACCGGAGCAGTCAGCGTAGACGTTGTTCCGGCGAAATTCTGGGCCTTGGGCGGTGAAAAAGCGGTCACGGTCGATGAAGATCTTGTCGTCGATGAACGGGCCGAGTTGGCGGGTTTTGGGACCCGGGTCCCCGACCCGGCGCTGTGGGGCGGGGCAGTTGAAGCGCAAGGGATCGTCTTGGAAGACGAGAGGAGAGTTGAGACCGTTGTCGATTCTCTGGTCGGGAACGAGAGTGATGTCGTCGGAGGACATGGTGGTGCGAACTTGAGGCGAGAAATTTGGAATCTGCGACTGTGAGCGATGGCTAGGGTTCAGAGATGGTGGCGTCGTTGAGCTTTGCCATTCCAGTGTGTTGGGTTTGGGGTATTCAACGAGTATTCACACTTTACACCACACTCACAGCACGAGTTTTTCTTTCTTCCAGATGCCAGGGCTTTGCTGGGACTGGGAGATGAATTGTACGACGTGTCGTTTAACTGAAGACATTTGGGGGGGGGGGGTAGTAATTTCATCTCCAAACGACGTCGTCGGGGTGTCTACTCACAACTGGATCATTTCTTGTTTCCCTTGGGCTGCGGTCTGCTGTTTTTTTCTCTAATTTTTTTTTTTGTCGTTGAAGAGGGAATGTAGAAATTTTCATCAATTGAGTCAATTTACATATGAAGCTCTCACCAATTGAGTTATTCTAATTTGTTTTTGTCAACTTGAGTTATTCTATTTGTGTCCCTGCTTTTAGCCTTGTTGGAACCTTTGGATTTGGGCCTTCGATCGATCGACCCCTTGAACCCGGATTTTCATTGCATCTTTTTACCAAAAAACTAAAAGAGAATCAAAATAGTTAAACAAGCTTTTGGGATAAGGATTCTTGTCTTCAACAATTTTTTACTCAGATTCTCTCAAATTGAATTTTATTTTCGCTTAATAGAATATAAATTCACCCAAGTGTTGTTTAACTACTAAGACGGTAATTCTCACTTAAAATTAATAAATTTAATCTCGTCCAATCCTACAAACTTAACAACAATAAATCATTCAGGAAATTGAATCAAACTTTGCTATATTGGTAGAGTTTTAAGTAGCTTCTAAGTTGTTGTGAGCAAGGTTCCAAGTCCTAAGATTTCCAAGATTCTCTAGTGAGATGCACAATATTCACGAGGTATGGTGCCTTGAAGGTGATTGATGTCCATAGTCAATATGCTTAAGTTTATGCTAAAATACAAATTTGGTAGGGGTTAAGGGAGACTACATGGTGGGTATTTTCATATGAAACTCCTACTCATAAGCGTGGAGTGGAATGGGAGGGAACTTAGGTGTAGTTTAGGAAATGAGGCACCATTGTCCAATGCTTCAAGAGTGAGGGTTCATTATCACAAGTATGCAGAATTAAATGAGACTAGGTGCATTAATTTTAAGTAAATGTATTAGAATCTTCTCCAAGATAGTATTGAGTAATACATCAAAGCAAAAAGATTAAAAGAACCACAAATAATTTTGAAATTTGTTTGTTGTAAAAATTACTGTGAGAATATTACTACTCATTTTATTATAGAGTGACAAACAAATATTTAATATGATTCAATAATATTAAGAGTCAAATCTCTTAAAAAAGTTTCTTAAACTGAGCTACAAATATATAATGTATTTGCTCATTATTTGATTCTAGAATGGAAAGGTAACATCCCAACTAAACTAACTTGCTGCTATCTTTGTAGAATGAGTATTTTAAAAGAGCTTCTAGGTCTAATTTGCTAAAAATATTTTTTTTTTTTATATTTTTGTTTTAGTTAGTTGATTGTTTGAATTTTTATGTGCAATAGAAAGTATAATTTACTTTATAACTTCTTTGCAATTTTTTTCTTTCTAATGAAACTAGTACCATGTTCATTACTTTTGCACTTATTCTTGAAAAAAATAAAAGACTTTTCGAATAAGTGGTAAGTGAAAGATGTTATCTTATTTTTTTAATTGGTCTTTGAATTTTCCTTTTTCAAACTAGCAATTCTTTCCTTTTGGTTGTTTATATATTTTCTACACAACATGTTCTTTATACACTATAAAATTATTTCTTTAATACCTGCACACTATTACTTAATAGGACCTTATCTTGCCACTAAATGCTTTAGAATAATGCTTCATGAATGTTAGATAGTTATGTGTCATGCTATTGTTTTACCATTTTTGCTAGAGATATTCTTTAACAAAAATGAAAATCTTATTATTAAATCTTAAAAGTAGAACACTTGAAATATTTCATCTGTAAGCTGTAACACTCAGTAGTTTTCTTAACTCTACTAAATTCAGTTTGACTATTTGAAATTTTGCAAACTAACTACTATATTTTATCTTTATTTTTAACATTAAAAATACTGAGATGAATGATTTGGCCTCCTTTGTTAGTAAAAAATAATTTACTTCAAATAGATTGAAGTTGGCAAAGTTTTTAGCATTAGGATATGACTCTTGAAAATAAAAGCAAAGTTCAGATTTGAACTTGGAATGTCAATAGCAAATATAAATTTAACTAGCTAAAAAAGAACAAATGGATTGATCAGAAATAATTAATACTTAATAGTGAATAATTTCAATATAACTAAGTGAGATTTTTATGTGGATCAATTTGGAGTTTAGTTTAGTTTCACTGAAGTGAATATTGAATGGTTAAAAAAAAGTGTTGTGAGCAATTAATCATGGATAATTTGAAGAATCAAATATAATGTCTTTAGTATTTTATTTTTTTTTTGGTTTATTTTGCTATAGTATTTAATAACATCGTGCATCTTGAGTGATTGAGTATTGTTTCTTTCCATAACATGGAAATGGGGTGATTAATTTGTTCTAGAGTTTAGAGTAGCTCATTCATTTGAACATGTCAAGGTGTAAGGTTTTTGAACTTTGCTCTAAGGTAATTTATTTTTAATTAATTAATTACACCTTTTTTTATATTTAAAAATAGCAAAATAGTTTTGTTTATTGAAGAGATTTTCAGTGTGATAATGAAAAACCAGACAATTCTTTAATTCAATCACAAATATTTTTTTTTGTTAAGTAAGTTATTTGTGTTATGCTACGCCACCTGTGGTAATTGTCAACATAATGTTAATTCTTGTATTAAAAATAATAATAAAAGTGAGTGTGCAAAATTGTCATCGTAATCTTCCTGACCATTCACTTTATACTAATATTTATTTTTATCTGAATTAAGACGTGTGCATTGTTAACAAAAGACGAGTTTAAAAATTCAATTCCACAACTGAAACCCAAAATAGCCGCTGTTAATCTTGATGTTAAATGCATTTTGCCACGTACAGATCTCAACGTTAATTAGCCCAAGATCCTGGATTTCTTGCATTGAATATAATAGCATATGCTAACATAATCTAAAGGGATGAATATTAGGTAATCACACAAGTGAATCTCAATAATTGTATTTATGTAAACTTGATAGATTTAAATTTCAATAAATTACAAACATATATGTATCTTAAAGATTGATAACTTAATATAAAATATTATCTTTCTTAACTTATTTTTAAATATCCAAATCAAAGGGAAAATGGTTAGACGCTTCAATGTTACTTAATTTCATATTCATACAGTGTACTTTCAAATTTTTATAACCAGCATATACAAAAATTAAAATAAGAATATCAGTGTTCTTTTTAAGTAACCTTCAATGAATTTGTATTTTGATTTTATTATTATGGTACGTTATTTGTTTGTATTTGATAACAATGTTCAGCGTTTTATCATATTATAATCCACACGCAGATAATGCTAACGATTACTCTTTTATTGTTAATATGAGCTTTAATTTAAAAATTGTAAGCATATGTAATCATTTATCAACATGAATGTGGAACTCACTTCATAAATTACTTCTTCATCTTCATCAATCGTTGTGTTCATTACTTGGAAAGGAATGAAATTAAATTTTAATTTAAATCATAAGAGATGTCTCCAAGTTGTCCACGTCATGAGCCTTACAACAAGAAGAAACATAGAAAGAAGGGTTGCTTTTTAAAAATAAAAGCAATTAAGCCAAGATTATATTCCATAAATTTCCATCAATAGCTAATCTCCTCTTGATGAGATTTTTCTGGTAGAGAAATATTTGAATGCCCGTGTGATTTTATTAGAACAACAAATTCTAAATATACCCATTTTGCTTCTAGGTTGAAATCAATTACACAAAATTGTGATTTACTAATTAACTCTACCCAACATTCTGGTTATGGAATTTTAGGAGCAAATGAAGTACTTGACAATATGAGTTGATTTGTTTAATATTTTGAAATGTACTAATGCAAAATAAAAACGGCAAAATGAGATTCTCCTCCTATTCATTAATGAAGATATTATATTGATCTAAAATAAAATAACTTTGTTTATGCCCATTCCTTATAATGTCAATTTCAAAAGTTCCATATGTTATATTTAATCTTAATATGGTGTGAATCATTGTTCTAAAGCCTCAAGCATATATAATTAGAAGATGGTGATTAAAGGAAATGAGAAGGATCCCAAGTCTGAACTACATCACACTTCAAATTCCAACACTCGATTGCTACTAGATTTCATGAAGCTTTCCAAGGATGAAACGGTTCGTGAACAATCAAGTAATGTAGTTGGTGATAGTGAAAGTGTAGATGATGAGAATACAAAGATAGAGGCAAAAACTTTTTCATGCAACTTTTGCAAGAGAGAGTTCTCTTCCTCACAAGCTTTAGGAGGGCACCAAAATGCACATAAACAAGAGCGTGCTTTGGCAAAACGTCGTCAAGGCCTTGAAGCTGGTGGGTTTGGGCACTTTCCCTGTTATCCTTACCCAACCCTTTATAACACTCATTCCTATTATGGAGGACCCTATAATAGGGCACTTGGAGTCCGAATGGACTCCATGATTCACAAGAATTCTTGGGCTTCACATGAATTTAGGAATGATCATATTTGGTCAAGGAAAGGCCAGGAAATACTTAATTCTTCACTGTTTGATCCAATTTTGAAGAAGGATGCAAGTCCAAGTTTAAGGGTAGAGGCTGATAATGGCACTAGAGAAACACTTTCCCTTTTTGAAATTATTGCTACCAATTCATCAAGCCAACTCATAAACCCAACTCTAGCAATCAAAGGTAGCGATGATCATCCCATACCAAAACAAACCTCCAAAGCAACATCTTTCAATCTTGATTTGTCACTTAAGCTTTGAAGTTTAGAGTCTTAATTTGTTGTCATTGGTCTTATTTAATTTAAATTCAAATAGTATACTTGAATATGGGATTATTAATGTATTTTTTTTTCAATTTTTCCATTTGAAATGAAAAAAAAAGTCAACTACCACCATTTTTTCTAACAAATTTTAATCGATTTGTGATTGATACGAAATTAAAATAATATATTTTAAAAACATTTAGAGAAATATAATTTTCTCTTTTTTGTCTATCATAATTATTTTCTAGCTATTCCCCACTCAACAATCAAAAGTTAATTCCAAGATGCAAACATTACCTATACAAGTATTTAAAATTCGACAATAATTATATACATAGAAAATGAAAATTATAAGATTTTCAAAGAAATAGGTCCCGCTTTTGATGTGATTCTTTTTTTTATTATTATTAATAAATTTCTTTGCATAAATATTATTCTCATGTAAAAAAAAAAATCTTTATTTCATCATTTTTACTTGAAATAGAATAAACTTAAAAATAATAATCAAATAAATAGTCGAGGCCCTATAATTATCAATTGACATTAAAAAGAATCAAATGAAACATATAGACCAATTTGCAAACGTGAAACTTATATCGAAGTAATTGTGAAAAATGTAAATATTTCATGTAAATTTATATAACTTGTTTATGAAATATTTGCTTGTCTTTTCTTTCCTTATATTGATGGCTTTATTTTTGTTAAAGAAAAATTCTTTCTCATCATTCACACATCTTTCTTACTAAATATTTTAATGGTTTTTTAACCTTTTTTTATTTATCTCTTTTTTGGTATCAAGAAATTATTTCATTTTTCTTCATCTCTTATACTATTCACCTTTTTTTAATACAACTTTCAAGCATACCCAATGTAAATGTGAATTATCCAGTGCATTATTGGTATTGATATAGTACAATTTTTAAAACAAAAAAGATATAACAAAATAATTAACTCCAGCAAATTAATTCAACAAAAAATCATTTATATTTGTTTATTTCATTAAAAGATTCATAAAACATTGCAATGGATTTGTAGTTATACTTTTTAATTTAAGTATATTTTGTTTACATTAAATTTTAAAATATTACCTTTTTAGGAATAAAAAACCAAAAATATTTATGAAATAATAGAACCTGGAAGATAAGGCATGTGATGGGAACATGGCTTATTGAATAGATATAATGAATATAAGAGGTGTGGTGACATGATTTTATAGAGAACAAGAAAGTTAGATGAGTAGAGTACAAGAAAATCCAATGAAACTAACTATAATAGAACGTGTGAAAGCAATTTGGTATTTTAAGGCCAAAAAGTGATAATTATGCAATTACAGAAATACTTTATCTTTTTACAAATGTTGCTACCAATTCTTTTTCATGGCAACTCATAAATAAGCCAATTATAGTAACAAAAGGCGATGATAATCATCCCATAATAAAACCTTCAATACAACATCTTCTCATTTTTATTTGTTAGTTAAGCTTTAAAATCTGTCTTTATTGTCACAACAACTTTGTTTAATTCAAATTATAATGTTCTGTGGAAAGTTACAAATATATATAAATTCCAAATATATATAGTTTACCCTTTTTATATGTTTATCATACGTATTTCCTTCATTTTTTATTTTTTATTTTTGTCAATCAATGATAAGAGATCACTTCCTTTTATGATACAAAAATCCCTACAATATATTCTATCTCCCTTAATAAATTATTTTTATGCATACATAAAAATAATTCACTTAAAAATGATTATCGACAATATGGCATAATTTTGTTGTGTATATAGTATTTTACAATTTTTCAAAATAAAATTTGAATAATTATAGGTTATGAAAAGATTTACAATGAAAAAGTATTTATTACAAAAATAATTAACTTTATGTTAGCGAAAGGTTTTCAATGGAATTTAGATTTTATTTTTTTGTATTTTTTTTCTTAAAATTCATTAATTGTAATACTATTTTTTAAAGTTGACTATTATGTTTCAATAAAAATCAATAAATTTTAATTTATCAGATAGCAGAATAAAATACAACCAACATTAAATATTCAAATTTCATGTTAGTGATGACTTCTCAATGGAGTTTGGAATATTTTCATATGTGGTTCTTAATTTTTTTCATTAATTATTACAATAATTTGTTTATATAGTTCATGTACTCATTTGCAATACAAAACGATGTATTTAAAAAATATCAAATGGAAAAAATGTAACGAAATATTTAACTTTCATTACACATAATTTATCATTTTCGTATTTAACTACAGCAAAACATATCAAAAATTTAATAATAATTTTGAGTAAAATAACATTATATTACGGTTTTTCCAAATCATAATATTTCAAAGTTTTCTAGAAAGTAGGGGTTGAGCGTTAAAGTTTTATTCACTATATCTAGAAAAAATTACTTTACTTAACTCTTTTCTTAACACTTGTTGTGTAAGTTTTGCATTTAGTAACACAAAAATAGAAGATAATGAATCTATTTTATTTTATTAGACTAAATTAAGTGTTTAATACTCACATAAATTACATAATTTAAGTTAATTTTTATAAGATATTTTATTAAAATATTTTTATTTTTTACAAATTATTATTTATAGTCTTATTAAATTATGTGGCCTAACAAAAAAAAACTGATATTTCATAATATTTCAATGAATTACGTTAGTTAGTTAGAATAATTAAAAATAATAATTTATGAGAAATTAAAAATTATATCTTAACAAACAAATTTATGGAGACTAAATTTAAATTATATAACTTTTATAGGAATCAAGCATTTAATTAAGTCTATTTAATTAATATTTTGAGATGCAAAATTTGACATATATATACTTTAGAACCTTTTTGAAAATGAGGTTTTTATATAATTAAAAGATTTGTAATTAAGAATATGATAATTTTATATTATAAATAAGTTTAAGACTTTGCAATTATGAAAATAAAATAAGAATAAATATTTTATTATATTTCTAACATTTTTAAGCTAACAAGACAAAATTAATGTTAGTTAAACATGATAGGGGTGACATACAAGTCTCTTTACAAGCCAAACTCACAAAGCCGCTATTTTGACTCTGTAAACAGCTTGTTGATGATGGCGGAATCTGATACAACCTCTAGCTAAGTTCAGGGTAATGATAACAGAATTTGGTGTTCTACATGTCTTATTATTATTCAACTTTTTATTTTATATATTCTTATCATATCATAATTATCAAATAAATTGTTCATTAAAAATAATAAAACATTTTAATAATTAGTTAGAATAATTTTTCAAATAAGATTTAAATGACAATTTTTTTGTCATAATCTATATTGTATTTATATACTTCCTCTATCTTTTTATCTAACATGCAATATGAACAGTTTTTTTTTTGGGGGGGGGGATTTTAGGCTGATATTTGGTTCTATGAAAATGCACAATATCGATCAGTATTGACTTAAAAAAATAAAATGATTATAATATTAAATATTGACTTCAAATTGCCTAATTTGTTAAATAATAAAAGTCTTATATTAATAGTTGGTAACTAATTAAAGTACGATAAATTCTATGGTGCTTTGAAAAATAAAGGAGTATTTTATGCTCTTGTATATGTAAAACAATTATAACTGTTAATTTTAGTAATAGAATTAGTGGTGTATTTAGAAAAAATATAAATATCTTTTAATTATCTTAGTATAATTTTTTTAAAAATATTTAATGCACTCTTAAATTTTAAATCACTATAGTAAGCACTTTAAAATATATAGAAGAATAACAAAGTTTTTTAGACAAAAAAATATATATATATTTAAATTTAAAGTTTATTCTCTCTTGAGTTTTGTTGGATCCGCAAATAAAATTATAACATGAGAAAAAAAAAATAAAGCCAAAAAATAGACAAAATAAAAGAAAGCCCAAAACATATATGTGAAAAAAGATGTCAAGCCGAACATAAAAGGGGGCTTAAAAAAAGAAAGAATCATAAATTCAAATTCAAATAATAATAATAATAATAATAAAAAGATGTGATCAAACTTAAAATAACTATAAAAAAAAGGGTTAAAATGTAAGTTACAACTGAGTTCAAGCCAGTTGAATTTGAGAAAAATATTAAATAATAAAAACTTTACATTAATGGGTTAATGACATTAAAAATTAAAATTAAAAAACTACAAGTTAATTTTTTTTAATAAGTCACTCAAACTCATTCTCTCTCGATCTAAAATTGAATCTACTGTCAAAATCCTTATATAATCGTTGCTCCCTCGTCAGTCAGACAGCCTACATGTGAAGTGAATTTATGGTGTTTACAAAACAAGTCACAACGTAGTATCTTATACTAGTCAATGCATTTTCGAATCTCAATACGTTATTTCATAGAAGTTTGGTATTATAAGCTTGATCTTGTATCCGCTCAAGCATGGAAAAGCTTGGATGATAAAATAAACATGTATGTGTGCTTTGGAATTGGAAGAAAAAAATGCATAAATGTGAAAATCAAAGCTCAAACGTTCTACATATTCCCTTTTCTTATTTGAAAACTTACATGAGTCATTGCAACAGGAACTGCAGTCAAAGCCCAAAATACCTTGTCCCAGAAATAAAACTCAGTTAGCCACAATCTAGAAGTTATCATGTGCCATTTCGTTTATACTGCCCATAACTAGGTAAATCTTGAGGGTAAACACTTGATCACAAAAATTTGCAGAATCAACATCACTTGCAAATATAAACTTATGAAAATTGCTACTTGTACGAAAAAATTGTTTTTTCACCTTATACTTTGAGATACATTCTTTTATGAAACCAAATTGAAGTGCTATAACATTATTTGAGATGGTAGAGAATTCTTAATGCTCTCACTTGACCAAATATTCCATGCTGTAATAATGGAAAAATGAATGGTCCACATGTTCTTATTTGTTGACGATGAGAAAGCCAATGCATTAGGGTTCCCTTGGGCCCAACACCCGTTTATGTTATAATTTATAAATAGCTAATTGCATTAGGAATATAGGGACAACTCACTGGTTCCAATATATGCACATGGTTACCCTACTCCATAAAGGGTTCTTTCGCTTCTTCATTTCATGCTTTCCTCTCTTACTTTCTTCTTTTCTGTTCTGAGGGAAAGAAAAAGGAGTATTATACTCGCCAGAAGCCTTGAGAAGTGTGTAAATGTTTTCTTTCCCTCCACTTGTTAGTCATGTGATAAGGTAGAGGAAATAAAAGCAGAACACTGAACCCAAATTAATGTACATTCATTATCCTACAGTTTCATCTACTTTCGCTTTCTTGCAAAAAGACTTGCTGGTTTGGAACATGCCTAGTTTATCTAAATAGAGGAAAAGAACAAACTAAGGCAAATATCCACCAAGGATTTATAACTAGCTATATTATTTGCCAAGATAATGGCATTCTATTCATCGTGGTAAAATACTTAGGGAGACTCCAATGGCAATAAATAATAAAGTAGAGATATTTTTCGGAGTGGGGGAGATCAAATGATAGGGTAAAAGAATAAGGATTTTTACAACAAAAGTGAAATTACTTTTGTTGTCCCTATTAAATCTGAAGAATATTTTTAAAATGCATGAATAAAAAGAAGTAAGAAATAGATAGAATCATATTTAATGTTTGATGTTTAAATAAAGGCAAGTTTTAAAATTATCCTGTCATTTTTTACAGATTATTTTTATTATTTTATTCTAACAATATATTTTAATGAGTGAATCAAGACATTCCTCATAATAGCAAGTTTACAATAAAATTATGATAATTTATTCTCAACTGATACAGCCTGTCAGCTAATAAAATATGTAATAAGTATGTGTTTAATTTATTTAATTTTCAAGAAATAATAACATTTTGTCAAATTTCTTTAAAAAATAAACAATTATTTTCTTAAAAGAATAATATCCAAGCATGCATTAACTCTTAACGATATCGTGTGAATAAAGTAAATTGCACATTCAAATTCCTTAAAAATCACAATTAAACTATATACAGATATGAAAGTGCTCTGTACGAGAGGAAGGAACATGGGCAGCAATATACCAGAAAAGAGAGCTTCTATTCCGACAACATCATATCGGGTAATATTCTATAATCCAATAACACAGATTTACCATTGTTATCGTGATCTTTCAGGCGTGCTCTGTCTTTTATTACCACCCACTTTTTCTCCATGACCCCTTTTCTTTCCATTCCATTATTATATGCAATGTTGATCATATTTTAAACAAATACTTGTTCCTAAGTGGGTGCTAAGAATCTAGGAAGTCCCAATGCTCTTAAATCACTTTTGACTTCTAAGTTGGCACTTGGCACTTTGTTTTATAACACATTTTTATAAATAAAAACATCTTGTCAGTCGTATTGTCAAAAATCATTCTTGCCTAACAACCATATCATTCCAGCACAAAATCAGTGCCACATGAAAGTAATCAGAAAAATCGTCAAACTAGAAACCGCAGTATTGATTCCATTTTTGTTCTTATAACACAACATAAAGCATGTTGAACTCTTCAATTCAAATATACACATGAACCTAAACAAAATTATCATAATTCAAATTATTATATGCAATTAACTTTTTCCAACATTTCCCTTCTAAAGAGAAATAAAAGTACATCCCAAAGTGATATCATAGGTAACGCTAGAGCATGTGCTCTTCGCATAATACGCCTCATGCAAAAGCGTACTAAAAAATATTTACTGTTATTGCTAGAGATACAAAAGCAAAATGCAGGCCAAAACAACAAGTGCGACACCATAACAAACAAACTAGAATATGAAAGATCAGTAATTGAGCAACATTTTTCAAAGGGGTGGTCCAAAACGGAACCCGGTGAAAAGGAATCCGGCATCCTAGGTGTAGCATAACAGAGAAATCTTAAAACAAACAACTAGAGACTAACAAGAAAAATATTACAATGAAAAGTAAACATTTTTCAACAAATAATCTCTCTCTCTCTTTCTCTCTCTCTCTCTCTCTCTCTAATAAATAAAACCGGATTCTTCTTCCCCGGACAACCCATTTTCTATCCTTCTACTAAAGAGAAAATTACTAGTTAATTCATCCCAACTCCTCTTGTCCTTCTGAGGGACATCTTATCAGCTCCAATATGTTAACCACTTCGCCCATGTCAGGCCTATTAGATGGCACTTGAGAAGTACATATTAAGCCTAGCTTCATCACAGGAATAGCTTCTTCTGCTGGGAACTTCCCTTGGAGCCTCTCATCAATACATTCCTCAACCCTGCCCTCTTCTAAAGCCCCTCTCACCATGTCACAAAGTACCACCACATCATCCTCCATGTATTCAACAGGCCTCTTCCCTGTAACAATCTCCAAGACCAAGACTCCAAACCCGTATACATCACATTTCTCAGTGATTTTCACCGTTTTGCAGGCAAACTCAGGTGCCATGTAGCCAAGTGCACTTTGAATTTTGCTGCTCAAGACATAACGATCTAGCATTGGTAACAGCCTTGCTAGACCAAAATCACCTACTTTGGGTTCACCATAACTATCAATAAGGACATTGGTTGACTTAATGTTATAGTGAATAATGTTGGAGTGGTGCAAGTGTGCTAAGGCCTTTGCTGTCCCAAGAATGACGTTAAATCTCTCATTCCATGAGAGGAAGTTTCCGCCTGAACCTTCATGGAGATGCTTATACAGACTACCACCCGAGACATACTCATATATGAGGAGCTGCAGTGATGTAGTCCAATAATAACCCTCAAGTTCCACAAGATTTTGGTGCCTGACTTTTCCTAATTTCTTCACCTCTCTTTCAAAATCTTCTTGAGACTTGACAAGACTTGATACAGTGAGCTTCTTTATAGCAACTGAACGTCCATCTCTAAGAACTGTTTGGTACACTGCCCCAAACCCTCCACGCCCAAGCTCACAATCCTTATTAAGCAAAGCATGTGCACCAGAACTAAAATCAGGCTCACCTGAAAACATGACAAGTTTGCCAGAGTTGGCATCTGTGGTTGGGGAATGGCTGAATTCATCCCCTGCAGAAAATGCAAGGGCAGCTGCAGATCGAGATGTGGAGGTCCGAACACGGAGATTGAGAACAGTAATGCTAATGACACCAATTACAATGACAGCAGCTGCACCAATGGCAATGAGTGCAGAAATGCTGAGGATGATTCTTTTATGGCCCAAATTTGGAGGCAATGAGCCCGGGCCAGAGTCAGTAGAAGTGTTGGGGTTTAGGACAATAGGCTTTGGGAGGACGGCAGGGCAAGATTTGTTCACTGCAGAGCCACAAAGGGATGGATTGCCAGTAACAGAGGAAGGAGAAATGGTGTTGAAAAAACCACCTGCCGGCAGTTCACCCTGAAGGTTGTTGTGAGACAAATTGAAGGTAAGAAGATTGGGAAGGTTGGCCAATTGCTTAGGAAGGTTTCCAGTAAGGTTGTTAAATGACAAGTCCACAGATTGCAGGTTGATAAGTTTTGCAATTGCTGCAGGTATTGGGCCACTAAGCCAGTTCTTGGACAGAATCCTACAGTGTACCAAATAAGAAAAGAGGGTAAGATAACAAAGAAAAAACAGGGGAGTGAGCAATAATAAACATAAGAGCAGTTGGATCTTGCTGTATATTTTTAAAAATTTAACTCAGGACTATAAAACCTACATAATGGTACCTATTAAGATAAAAAGCAATGCATGAAACTACAGTACCATAAACTTCAAATCCACCCAATAACAACAGATATTTGTGTACGAACACACACACACACACACACACACACATATATATATATATAATTAATCATTCATGTCACTGTCAGCATCCACTCTCCAAGATGTATTATGGACATATTTTCTTCAACCTTATTGTAAAAGGTTAGGAGTATAATTGAACTTAACACAGTTATTGCTGCTGAAGTAATAATACATAAGTATTTTAATGTGAACGTTTAAGTTAAAATAATAAAACTGCTTGCAAGACTAAATCAAAGCAGAGACTGTCAGTTGAGTTAAACAACCTTGCACTAAATATATAACATGCAGATCAGCTAAATCTGTCTGATGAGACTTAATTTGATTATGAGGAACAACATTTAATTATCTACTGTAAATATAAGCATATGTATAAAATGCCAAAATGAAAGATGGGACAGGGAAAAGGAACTTACAAAGTTGTTAACAAAGAGCAGTTCTCAACTGATGTTGGAATTTTCCCAATAAGAAAGTTCTTTTCCAATATCAGTTCTTTCAAGGACACAGCTCCTCCTATTTCCCAAGGTATGCTTCCGTTTAGCTTATTATAACTCAAATCAAGACTAGAACATGTTTTCAATTCACCAATTGCAGCTGGTATAGGACCTTTAAGAGAGTTATTTGCTAGATTCAAAACCTGCAAGCTGCTTAAACCTGCAACAGCAGACGTGATTTCACCAGAAAATGTATTGTGAGACAAATCCAAAACTTGAAGACTTTGAACCGCAACTTCAGCCAAGGAAAACAAAGGGCCTTTCAGGCTACCACTCGGTCTGTTCTCTGATACCAAAACCTTGTCCAAATCTGATTTGAAAATCCATGTTGGAAGACCTCCAGACATTGAATTCCGGCTAACATCCAATGCCAAAAGTCTTGTGCAATTTGCCATAGACTCTGGCAGATTACCAGTGAAACCATTTGCTGAAAAATTCAACATCTTCAACGACTGAAGATTTCCAATAGAGTATGGCACCTGGCCAGAAAATCTATTGTTCGAGAGATCCAATGTCTCAAGCGCTTTCAACTCGCCAATCCACTCAGGAATCTCTCCTGAGAAAGCATTTCCACGCAAACTAAGGTAACCACACAAGGAGAGTTCCTTGAAACCACCAGGGATGCCGCCAGAAAAAGAATTCTCCCCCAAATCAAAAGACCTCAAAAGCAAGCAGCTTCCAAATTCATCAGGAACCGTCCCAGAAAACCGATTCCTCGCCAAGCTAATGCTCCGCAAGTTCTTCAACGCTTCAACCTCTTTCGGAATCTCACCCTCCAACAAGTTCCCAGACAAATCCAGAGACCTGAGTGCACTCAAAGACCAAACCACAGGAGGCACAGAACCAGAAAACTGGTTAAGAGAAAGGTCAACCGAAGCAAGAGCAGAACATGACCCCAAAGTAGAAGGAACATTCCCAGAAAACTTGTTCCTTGCCAAGGAAACACTCCTAAGAGACCCACATTGTCGGAAAAAATCATCAGGCACTTCCCCTGAGAGACTATTGCCACTCAAGTCAATGACCCTAAGGTTATCAATGCTAGCGATGTTGAGGCTTATGCCCCCAGTGAGGTTGTTGTTAGCCAGTGAAAGCTTACGCAGAAACTGCAAGCGTTGCAAGCCTCTACCTATTCTTCCAGAGAGAGAGAACCCATCAAGGTTAAGCTCCACCACCCTGTTGGATCTAGGGTTGCATTTCACCCCAACCCAACCACCCCCACATGCACTCTCATCATCTTCGTTCCAAGATGCAAGCTTTCCCTTCGGATCTTGGATGTCGGCTTTGAACACAATCAGCCCCAAAACGTCGTCGTTCAGAGACGGGTTCAATGCGGTCACTACCACACAAAGCAACGAGAACAAGCACAGAACAAAAACTCTCATGTTGGATATCGCTCGCATTTTCTAACACTAAGCACCCATGTGAAATTGAGCTCGGAAAAACAAGACCAGCTGATTAAAGACTTCGAATTTGGACAAGGGAAGCAAAACCCAACTTCAGAGTAAGCTAGCCAAAACAAAGAGGGGGAAAAGCACAAGCTTTTTTTTTGGGGGGGGGGGGGGGGGGGCGGGGGGGCGGGGGGGTAACGGCTAGATTTGAAAGTGAGAGAGAAAAAGGAATGGGTCAATGAGATGAGTGTGGAACACGAGAGAACACTGGCATTTGCAGATGGAGGAAATGTAACGAAAGACCCACAGTAACTAAAATAAGAACTTAAAGAAGGTAAAGTTTGCACCAAACCCTAAATACCACTTTTCAAGCAAGGTATGGTTTTCCTATTTTTTTTCTGGGGAGCTTCAAAGTGAAACAAAGCAGAAAAGTTGAAGAAAACAGCACCAAGAGTGTTGAAGAAGACTCGATCCAGACTCCACCAAATGCAGAAACAGAGCAGTTCGAGTTAGCAGGAAGAGTAACCGAACAGAGAACACACTGTTACCTGCCAGAAACAGAACGGGTTTTCCGGTGACCGGAAGTTCTTCGCCGGTGCTGAAAGCAATCTCTCTCTCTCTCTCTCTCTGCTGTGCTGTGTGAGAACACAGACGATAGTAATATTCAGTTTTTATTAACGGCAAAAGAGGGGACCCGGTTGGTAGATAGAAAAATAAATTAGGACAAGGCCACGTGGCGAACCCATGTTGGGCTGCTGGTCCTACGTGTCTGACACGTCATCATTGTCAGTTAAACTTTTGACGTGGATGGCTTACCTGGCTTTTCAATTTCCAAAATTGCCCCCACTTTCTTCTTTTTTTTAATAAAAATCACCTTTATCTTTTGATTTTAAATTTCCTTATTTAAAAATGTTTACGATGTCAGTTCTCTATGATTTCCGCTAGAATTAGAAATTAGAAATCGTTGGTGGAAAACAGAGATATTTCTTTGTTTTTTTCTTTATCACTTTCTGCGCAGAATGGAATATTGTTAATTGAATAGAAGAACTTTAATCTCTCAGTTCTTTTAGAAAATCCTACACGTGATTGCACGAGTAAAAGTCCGTTTTCTTTTTCTAATAAGCACTGAAAGGTAACCCATTGATTACTTAATTGTTTAAGGTTGGCAAAATAAAAGTAGTAATTTGTTACTCTCAGCTGAAATTAATTATTTATAAATAAAAAATTATAAAAAAGTAAATTTATTTTATTAAAATTATAAAATACAATAAATATTTTTTAACAATATTTTATTATCAATAGTTACATACTTATCTCTAACCCTTAAAAAAAGTATAAAAATAATATTTTAAATATCTCAAAAAATAACAATATTTGTTCTTTAATGACAGAAGTGTATGCTCTCTGCAAAGTTTTGAAGCTCTTTTTTTAATAAAACACATTGTTGTTATATTGATTCAAAATTTGAAAAAAAATAATCTTACTAAACAGCACCTTAGAAATACTTGTTAAAAATTACTAAAAATATAAATTAAAACGCATTAAAAATCATAAAAAATATTAATAATATTTAAAAATCATTTTTTATCTTTTAATCATTATCTTAAAGACATATATTAGTATTTATCTAAAAAAATTCATTAAAGCTTTCTGTTTGCTTTTTGGGTGGAGACTTCAATTCTATCTCTTCGATCCCTTTATAACGTAACTTTATAATTGAAACGCACAATTTAGTAAATGATTATCTCATTGTAAAGGAACGAAGATGAGCTGGGAAAAGCCTATGAGATGTGTTATTATATTTATAGAGTGGCTATCTAAATGACAAAAATGAACCTTAGGGTCTTGAACTACCACCACAATGCACGTTATTTTCAAAATTGAAAGACTACCATAAACCAAAGTAGAATATGGAACAAGCTGAATCTCAACAATCCCGGTTGACCGAAAGAGGCATTGATTTGGTTGAGTACGTTGAACTTCACTGCTGACTCAAGATATGTCTTAACAGAAAACGAGATTTTGCATTGAGGAGAAAGCTCCTCTTTAACTAATGGAAGCTATAATAGTAAACAGCACAAGCATAGTGATATGCTGTTGATGATGGCATGTGAATTTAATATGAATATATTAAAAAGGGTAATGGGTAATATAGGAAAAAGGAAAGGGCATTTTGATAGTTTAAAAGACTTAGAGTGAAAGTTAGTTGGGTTGAATAGAGGGAAGAAAAAGGAAAAGCAATAAAGGGAAGTAGGTGGCTATGGTGGGTGGTGCAATTAAAGAAAAGGGAGAAAGATGTGCAGAAGATGGTGGAGGATGAATGGTGTGGAGCAGTGCAATGCAGAAGTGCGCAGAAATCAAAGGGGGACAGATCTTTTCATGCTTTCTTAAATTTCATGTAGCAACCGCAGCTCAGGGTCCCCTTCTCTCTTTCTCCCCCACCATTGCAAGCTCTGTGGTTTCTCAGTTGCTCTTAATTTTACCCCACCTTGCAACAAATGAACAGATGTGTAGAGGAGAAATGCTAGCAAGATATTTTTTAAAAATACACTTTTTTAAAAATATCTTTCGTTAAATAATATTAGATTGTTATATTTTATTGAAATATTAGATAATATTTTATTTTAATAAATTCAATTTTTTTGTCTATATATGTTCAAAATTACTTTTTTCTTATAAACTAACTTGACTAATTTTTAATATAAATAGTATGTGTATTAATTTTTTAAGCAGAGTCAAATATTTGACCATAATCAAATTGCCATATTACTATCATTTCAACCACTGCTAAAGAGTTTCGCAGTAGCTCACTTTGTGGCCATAGATTCAACATTGTCACCATATTAGTCACCTGTTTACTTAGAATAAGTTCTTGCTCAAATTCATCTCAAACATAGACATAACTCCAATGCCCTATTCTTCGTTTGGACACATTCGAACTCCTTGACATGACAAAATGTTAGATTTATCAGACGCATACACACTAGACAAGTGTTAAACATATTTTCTTATTAAAATAGTTACAATATTAAGTATGTATGACGATAAATTCATTTTAATTAACAATGTCTATATAAGGAAGAAATTAATTAGGTCAAGTCCATTGTTTTATTTTTCTTTACTTTTATTCTGACTAAATATCTACTTTATTAGATTTTAACTCGCTCTTAATACTCGTAACTAGTTTTTTTCACAATCAAAGTAACATGTTTATATTAAAGAACAAAACATGGAGTAAAAAGTGATATATTCAAATTTATTGGAAAAGATGAAACTAAAAAAATAAAATTGAACCTACACATTAGCCACTTAACTATTCTAAATTATAATAGTTAATAACACGTTTCTTTTTATTTTCCATATTTTAAAATAATTTTATATTGAATGAATTTTATTTCAGTTTCATTAAGCAAATTAATTATATATTTTTTTATTTAATTATATATACATAAAACTTATATAATTATAAATAACGTGTTACAATAGTTTTTGTCAAATTTTTATTATTATCGGTGCTTCATATAATTTTAATATTCAGAAAATTGGATTGTCAATATCAATCAAGGAGAATTTGATTAAAAAGGATGTTATGATTAGCTTAGGCATCGTTCATAAGTTGGCCAAGAAATAAAATATAACAGCAAGAAGAATATTCCTAAGAATAACAATTTTTTATGAGACAGTGCCATTATATCGTACGCACACAACGTACAAATAATAGGCTTGCTTTGTAGAAAAGAAAATGAAGGGATCACCGAAGTCGAAAAGGAAAGGAAAATGATATATGCATAAAGTAGTAGTTGGTGTAATTTTTATCATTAGAAAGCAAACAAATTATTAGAATAGGTTATATTTTATAATATACATAGACAAACGAGTAGAAAGAAATACGATATTTGGACTTTCGTGATTGATCATCATGCAATAACTTGAATCCCATTTCCCATGAAAATTGTTTGTAATACCATTGAACTTGTAACATGGTTGTGTCAAAAGACTATTAAGTCTTGTTTTTATGAAAATACTTTAAACATTTTCAATGGTATGATAACATCTAATCAATTAATTAGATTTTGTGGAACTAAGCCTATTTTAGGTGATTTAAGGCATGTTCTTAATTTGGGGCACTGCCCATGACATGACAGCAACATCCGTTACATCTTTCACTGTCTTTGCCAAGCTTGACGACTTTTTCCTCTTTGTTGAATCTCTCTTGTTGTTCTCTACGTTTTGGACGATCGAAGTTTTGAACTCATGGTTGCATGGATCCCTTTATTTTCAAGTTTTATGATGCGTTTAAGTAAATAATCTAGTTAAAGTTCAATAAATCATTTTTATATAAAGATTTATAACTGTTCATAAAATTTATTAAAATAAATTCAAAATTTATTAAAATAAGTTTAAAAACAGTATAAACGTCATAAGTTATGTTATAAATCATTTTAAATAGATACTAAAAATTTAAATTTTTTCAAGATTTTCTTAAATTCTATTTTCTTGTCTCTTATGAATTTGACTACGGAGTTTAGTTGTTTTATTTTTTTTGTATTCTTCCGGGAACATGTGTAACTGTGTTTTATATTTAAGGTTTGGCAAGTCTTGATACTTGATTTGTGATTTTCCTATTTGAATATAACTTCTTTTTTTATTTGAGCTTATTTTATTGTACTTATTAATAGACAAATGTTAATTAATGTCTTAGAGAAATTTTTTATTAAAAATATTATACTGTATTTTTCAATGCATTTTAACGAATGTTTTAAAGATATGAATTAGTAAGACCTTATTTTATATCATGACTTGTTCAATTTTGATATGTTTTAGTTAATTAATTGACCAGTGACCATTCACATCTAATTTACAGAATAATAGCATTGTTATATGATCAATTATTTTCTTTTTACTAGTTATTGAATTAACTTAAGCCTCTTGTTTCTTTAAATTTTCTTACTCGACTTTTTTTTTTTTACTAATTTGAGTAACATGTCACTTTAATTCCTTAAATAATGGATACTTGCCAGTTCAGTCTAAAAAAATATTTTAAAAAGAAGAAAATTTTAGTCCTTAAAATTATAAGAATTTAATCAATTTTGTCTTAGAAATTATAGGCACC